GCCACGATTTTTGATTTCCCGTGTATGTACGGGAGGCGTTGGGGCACTCGTGGTTTCGAGCCTCAGGGCGCCCCAAGACGCCCAAGAGGTCTTCCGTAGCGCTCTTGGCCCGAGACGTCCTAGCTCGAACTCGCCGACCAACTTGCTTGGACACGCATTGGGCGCCGAACCTGCAACGAGACGCGAGGCAGCCCAAGAGATGGCGCAGCCCTGCAGAGTAGCGTTCTTAATGTTGGCGCTTGCGGGCATGCGAGTATGCTCATTGCCCAGCAAATTGGGAGACAAGCGCAAGTGATTGGTATGTAAAAGTTCGATTGGGGAACATCGTGGGAGGCGCCATCGCCCTGGCGACCATGGTGATACTGTCCATGGAGATGTGTTGCGCGGCCGGAGAGTCCCGATGCCATGACTGTTCAGCAGGCAACCAGAAGGTCGTCGGACGGTTGTTGGTCGTCGTGGCGCTGTCCTGCCCAGTTGTTCCCCTGATTGTGAGTGCGTTGACGGTTGATCTGGCCTTCGACGACATTTGCAATGCTTGCCCGTACGGGAGCGGCGGCACAGCTTGCGGACAGTGTTGGAATGACAACGGGGGGTTGGGATAGTGGGCTCACGCTGTCCGAGCAGGCCTTCGCAGCTTTTTGGCCCGGCTTTGGCTTCGCGGTCGTGCCCCTCGCAATCGCACCCACGCTCTTCTGGTGCTGTTGCGGCTGCCACCCATCGGCAGTCCCTCTGGTGGCCTACTCGATGGATGCGCATGCGTCCAGGGCGTCTCCGTGAGCCGATGTCCTTGGCCTCTCGCCTGGGGAGTCTAAGCGTTCCAGGCGGAGATCCTCCGAGCAGAACCTTGTGGATGCGGAGTGCCTGCCGGCAAGAAGCCTCGGGTTTGAGCGTTGGCGTTCAATCAGGCGTGCTCGAATACAGTGGTTGGTCATTCACGTGCTTGCTTGTGTGCATCGTGCATCGTCTCCTCGTACCAAGGTGCCGTGCGCGATGCGATCCATCCAAAGCGTTGATTTTGCGAGGTGTGTGTGTGTGTGTGTGTGCGTTGCCGCCTCCGTTTCAGTAACCGCCGACGGGCGATAATATAGTACCCCCCTCCGTTTTCCCCCCTTTTATTTTTTATCCCCGACCGCAGGGACCTATCCGTGGGGAAGGCGCCGAGGCCGAACTTTATAATCAACGGGAAAGTTGCGGGGATCGAAGTTACTATCATATCATGTTGATTAGCAACAGCATCAAAAACGCTGAGCATGGCCATGGTGGTCTTGCCACACCAGCTTCCGCAATCACGAGCGTGTGGCAGGGCTGTGGGATTCTCACCAGTTGAGTTTGCCCACGTTACGAACGTGCGGCAGGGCCATGGGTTTCTCATTCTCTCAGCCGTTCCCGAGTCAGGAACGTGTGGCAGGGCTATCGGGACCGTGTGGCAAGGACGGCTCCAAAGGATGCCGTGCTTGCATGGGAGAGTGGTCCGAAGTCCAGCGAAAGAGGGGTTTCTTGTCCAGATCGGCCAAGGACCTCTCTTGCGCTGGCAAAAGCTAGGCGCCGAGCCACGAGCCTCGAGATCTCTCGAGTCAGCCTTGCGTCGTGCGCCTCTGCGGGCAAGTAGCCACGAGCCTCCAGATTTCTCGAGTCAGCCTTGTGTCGTGCGCCTCTGCGGGCAAGTAGCCACGAGCCTCGAGATCGCTCGAGTCAGGCTTCTATCGTGCGCCTGGTTAAACCTCCTCCTCCTCCTCTTCATCATCATCATACTCATCATCATCTTCATCATCATAGTTAACTTAATCTCCCCAGGAAAATCGTTTATTATCCCCTCGGGAACCGGGAACTTTATTATCCCAGGGGGTGTATTCTCGCCCACTCAGGGTTACGATTGTTTGCATTACGAAGCTCCAGCGATCTGTCCGCCACAGGTCACTGTGGACAGATCGCCCCCGTGTGACAACATGAATGTGTATCCTCTCATTCTGCCCGATGCGCCAAAAATATTATGCACGTCTTGAGGCTCGCCCCAATACGCTTCAAGAGGCCCCCAGAACGGTCCAAGAAAGCGCCAACAGAGCCCCGAAAGGGGGCCAAGAGCCGGAACGCGAATGGAGCTTGACAGCTCTTCCCCCAACGATTGCCCCGAGAGCCCCAACATGCACCCAACGGCGCCCGAGAAGCGTCCAAGAGGCCCCCAACAGCCCCGTCAATAGGCCTCCAAGATGCGCGCATCCGTGCGCGTATCATCGGGTTCGTCTGACGCGGCTCTGCTGATTTTCAGCAACAGGATCACGTTCTCTCTCGTTCTCTCTTGATCCCTGCCTGTACGTGTAAATCCCTTTTCCTATATTTTTGCCATCCAGCGCAGGCGGGAGAGCATCCCCCCCCGAAACGGGACCCCCTGGATCAGTGGCCCCAGCTTGCAGAAGTCCCCGATCTTTCCGGGGTTCCTGGAAGTCCTTGCCGGTCCCAGGTAACGGGCCCAAGTCAGTCAGGAGTGTGGCCGGACGGTCCCTCGAGAGCCTCAAGAAGCCCCCAGACATCCACCAGACGCCCGAAGACGACCCAAAGAAAGTCCTCGACACGGAAAAAACATATGGATTCCCGATGTGTGTTTTTGGGTTTGGGGAATGTTATGTTTTTCTGTCGTCAGGGCGTCGGAGACCGCCCCGGAGACCCCAGCCCCAGGACGGCACAACAGGGCCCCTAAGATGGCCCGAAACGATCCCCATGACGGCCCAGGATGGCTCCAAGACGCCCCCCGTAGCATTCCACATCGTGACCCCATCGTTCAGGTAGACCGCGGTTGGAAGCAGGGTGGCCTGAGGAAGCCCCTGGAGGCTCCCAGAAGGAACCCAGGAGGCCTCCAGAAGGCTTCCGAGAAGACCTTAAACAGTTTCGTGAGACCCCCAAGAGGCTCTCAAATGAGGAGCCTTCGCAAAAAGAGCTGAGGAGTGTAAAGAAGAATTCGCAGGGCAAGGATCCAACGGGGAAAACTCATAACATACTTACACAGTGTCTGTTTTACCTCCCTGCCCTTCCGCCTGCATGTCGAACTACAAGGACCCAGGTGCTTGGCGCGAAGCGCTAACGTACATTCGCTTATGCATACGTAGCCTAATGGCTTCGCCCTCTGCCGTCGGCCACCCAATTACTAGTGCATGCGGCTACGTGGATAGCGCCGTGGGTGCTTCTCTTGGCAGGCTCTCGGCAGCAGTTGCGGGTCATTGTTGGAGCTTCTTGGAAGCCGTTTTGGAGCCTTTTGGTGGTTTCTTTGGGGCCCCTTGGGGGCCTTTTGGGGGCCTCCTCTTGGGGCCTCTTGGGACCTCGTGCCTCCTGGGGCCATCTCGGTGCGGAAAGATCGAGTTTTCGGTTCGTGGTCTACCTCTTGGGCATCTCTTGGGACCGTCTTAAGGCCCCTTTGGGCCGTCTGGGACGCCTCTTGCACCGTCTTGGGGCCCTCTTCGACCGTCTTGGGGCCGTCTTGGGGGCCTCTTGAGCCGCCATGGGAGCTTCTAGGGCCGTCGTGGAGCGATCTTGGGAACCTCTTGGTCCGTCTCGGAGCGTCGGAAAGCTGAAAAGGCGAGAAGGCCAAAAACCTTGGGAGTCCTCCTGGAGGCCTCCTGGGCCGTCTTGGCAGCATCTTGGGCCGTGTTGGGGCCATCGTGGGACATCTTGGGGCCATCTTGGGCCGTCTTGGGCTCCTGAGGCTCGGAGCCTCTTCGGGCAATCTTTGAGGCCTTTCGGGCCGTTCAGGCCGCGCGGTGGCGTCACCATGAGAATCCTGAGGTGGCCCGGAGCAGCCAGGATTTGAGGTTCACCCCCCCCCCTTAGCTGTTTGGTGGCGCGGCGGACAGGACAGGAAGGACAAAAGGCCGAACAACAAATGACAACACATACCACATGACAGCAGACCGCACACACCTTCGCAGCATTGCGCCCCCAGAGGGGGCTTATATCTCTCTCAGTATATATATATATATATATATATATATTCCCGTATGTACGTTAAAATTTGAGAATGTGTGTGTACATGTATGTGTGTATGTTTGCATGCGTGGGTGTTTGTAGGTACGTGTGTTCGCATTTGTTTGCGAACCATGCACTGCAATGTAACTCAACGAGATGCAATCTAATGCATGTCTCAGTGTATCACCGCCGCTTCACAATCCCCGTTTCACTATTCCCTATCATTCCTCCTCTCTACCACCTCATTTTTTGCCCACTCGATCCCCAAGGGACCAACCAAGCAAAACCTCTCCCTGACTCCTTTCCCCTTCCCTCTCACCCCCTTCTATCCTCACGCCCCTTCGCCTCTCCTCTCCCTCCCCGCCCAGCCCTCCATTCACACGCACCATTCCTTCTCTCCTTTCCCGGCACCTGCCACCCTCTTGCCGTATCCATACTCGTTTTTTCCGCTTATTCTTCACGGATCAGGAGGAGGAGGAGAAGGAGGAGGAGGAGGAGGAGGAGGCTGACCAGCAGCCCTGGAGGCCAGGACGGCGTCAAGATGTGTTGCGTCGCGCGTCGAGAGGGGGAGGAAATTTGAGCACGGATGTGACCGCCCCTCCCTCCGCCCCCCTCAATGTTCTTTGCCCTGCACCCCCGATCCCTCTGTTTTCTCCGGCTCCTCCCTCTCACTCTTTCTCTCTCTGTCTCCCTCACCCTCGTCCCTCACCCTTTCCCTCGTCATCGTTCTCCTGCTGCTTCTCGTCGTCTCTCCATCCCCCTTCCTCTCTTCGCAATCCTTCTCCTCCTCCTCCTCCTCCCCCTCTCCTCTCCATGCCACCCTGCTCCTCTTCGTCCTCGCCCCCTCGCCGTCGTGGCCCTCCTCTCCTCCTTCGCCCCCTCGCCCCCTCTCCCCCTTCGTCCTTCGTCCTGCTCCTCTTCGTCCTCGCCCCCTCGCCTCCTCCCCCCTCGCCCTTCGTCCTGCTCCTCTTCGTCCTCGCCCCCTCGCCCCCTCGCCGCCGTGGCCCTCCTCTCCTCCCTCGCCCCTCCGGCGCCTCCCTCCAGAGATGGGCGTCTCCCCCGAGCTGCAGAGCGCCTTCGCCGCCGCCGCGGACGAGGCCCCGCGGCGGCCGCGCGCGCGAGCGTCGACCGGCGCCCAGCGGCCCCCTCGGCAGGGGCCCACACGGGCTCGCGGGGTGGTGGCCCTTCGGCGGAGTGGCCCTGTCAGCGCCGGCGTGCGGGCGTGTCCCTCTGCAGGAGGGAGTATTCGAGAATGGTCAAGACATAGTCTCTGGGGGCGAGTGTTTCGACTATAGTTGGCTGTTTGTGGGAAGAAACAAACCAAAACACACACACACACAAAAACACACGGGCTCGTCTGTGGGAAAAAACTCACAAAAACACACCCACACACAACAACAACAACAACAACAACAACAACAACAACAACAACAACAACAACAACAACAACAACAACAACAACAACAACAACAACACCAACAACAACAACAACAACACAGCAGCAGCAGCAGCAGCAACAACAACGACAACAACAACAACACAACAACAACAACAACAACAACAATCATTTTACCCGAACGCTCAGTGTTCTCACCAGTGCCAGGGTTTTCATGCGACGCGAGACAATACCCCCACTTCGTGGGGGGGCAGTTCAAGCTCTACCAAATATCCAAACGACTCTTCGCGACCACCCAAACCCAGCTTCCCGCCCTATGACGTTGGGACACTTCACTTCGTGGCGTGCGGACGACCGTGGCTACTACACTGGCGTGGGGTACACACCCACAGAACTTGGTCACTTATTCGGGGCGCGCGTGTGCCCAGCATCCTGCAATTGTGACATACAATACATGACACAGACAGACAGAGAGAGAGACAGAGAGCAGACAGAGAGAGAGACAGAGAGAGCGGAGTTGGTCACATTTTTGGGGCAAGTTCCTGAGATCGTCGTGTTTTTTGTTGGTCTTGCGCGCGCGAATGTCCACTTTACTTTTTTTTGCAAGGGAATTGAAATTTGATTATGTTAGAACAAGAAAAAGTAGCTCGCGCGAGCTCATGTAACATAAATGTTGAAAAACCATTGGTTTTGTGGGAGTCGGACAGCGCGCGCGGGATGAAATTTGGACATTTTTTTTTGAAAAACCATTGGGTTTTTGATGTTTTTATGTTGAAATCGTTACGAAACCTAAGGTTCTGGAAGGATTTCGTCTTGCGCGCGCGAATGTCCACTTTACCTTATTTTTTGCAAGGGATTATTGAAATTTGATTATGTTAGAACAAGAAAAAGTAGCTCGCGCGAGCTCATGTAACATAAATGTTGAAAAACCATTGGTTTTGTGGGATTCGGACAGCGCGCGCGGAAGGACATTTTGACAATTTTTTCTTAAAAAACCATTGGGTTTTTGATGTTTTTATGTTAAAATCGTTACGAAACCTAAGGTTTTGGAAGGATTTCGTCTTGCGCGCACGAATGTCCACTTTACCTTATTTTTTGCAAGGGATTCTTGCAATTTGATCAAGTAAGAACAAGAATTTTCATTTTATAGTGTTTTTTGCAAGGGAAAGCGGGGGGGAACAAAACAACCGGATCCGGCATAATCCACTTTTCTGAAGCTTTCGCGAAAAAATAATGAAAATGAGGCTGCGGCCTAGGTTTTGGAGGGGGGTCGCGCACCAGGGGTCCCAACAATAATTATTCTTAAGAAGAAATAATGTTCAACAACACACACAAACACACACACACACGCACACACACACACACACTGTGTGTGTTTGTCCCACAGTCCGTGTGTTTGTTTGTGCGAGGTGTGTGTGTGTGTTTTCTGTGTGTGTGTGTGTTTTTCCCACGGTGTGTGTTTTGTGCGTGTGTGTGTTTCCCACAGACATGTTTGTTTTTTCCCACAGGGGCGGTGGCCCTTCGGCAGAGTGGCCCTGTCAGCGCCGGCGTGCGGGGAAGGCAGGCTTAGGTCGGGCGTGTCCCTCTACAGGAGGAGTCTTCGAGAAGGGTCAAGAAGCAGTCTCTGGGGGCGAATGTTTCGACTACAGGTGGCTGTTTGTGAATCTTGTTTGGCTATGTGTCAGTTTTCGCCCTTAAGATCCGCTTTTCGGGGGACACGCCCGACCTAAAGATAGGCTCAGGGGGGGGGGCGACGGAGTTGCCCTTTCGGAAGCAAGGCGAGGAGGGATGCGCTCAGGGGAGGATAGGCTCTCGTCCGTTTCCGTTCTCTGGTCCCAGAGGTTTGTCAGCTTGGTCCTTCTCGGGCCTCACGATGAGGCTCCTCGTCGCTTCGGCTGGATCCGCCTCGAAGATTCGCCTGGGAGGGGTCAGGGGCCCGGGTTCGAGAGGATTTGGGCATGCCCGATCTCAGGGGCCCTCAAGAGGTGCGGTGGCCCGGGGGGTCAGTCAGCGGGGCTTCCGGGTGGGGCGACTTCACGCTCTGTGCCCGGGCAGCCGCGGGAGAGGGGGCGGATGTCGCCGAAGACGTGCGGGACGCGCTGCGCTTGACGGTTGCTTTTGAGACGGCCATGGGTAGGGCCTCGACTCGCACCCAAAGCAAGCAGCTCGCGAACAGCAGGGAACTCCAGCGTTGGCCCGCGCTGGGATCCGGGCAGGCACTGAGATCCTGGCATTGGGGGTCGCGACCACCGCGGGACTGCGGCGCGGTTGCGCGGGGCCTGCACCCGGTTTGCCCGCCGCGGCCTCTTGCCGCCCAGCTTCGGGAGCCGTTGCTTGCTGGGCGCCGCCGCCGGCACAGCAGCGGGCCTTTACGGCGCCGCTTGCGGCCGGCCGCTTGCGGCCGGCCGCCGGCTGGGGAGATCGCCCGCCTGCGCGCAGCTGCGAAGAAGGCCGTCTGCCGCGGTTGGCGGCGCGCGTCTGCGGAGATCGTCTACGGCGTTCTGGCGCCGAGTTGGCGTCTTGACCAAATGGCCGTGACGGTGCTCGCTCCGTAGGCTGCAAAGGCGCTCCGGCGGAGGCGATTCCCAGGAGGCTTGTGGCGCGAGGCTGCGAGCGCGATGGCGGCTGGGCACGGCAGGCGTTTTGACCCGACCGCAGCCGTCTTCCACAATCTGGCGGAGTTGCAGATTGGGGCCGACATCGAGGCCTGGTACGGCATCCCGGCGGCCCCCGGCGGCTGGCGCGCAGCCGCACGCGCCCCCCCCAGACACCCGCACGGTGTTACTTGAGGCTTGGGGCAGGCGGGAAGCCCGCGAAGTCGCCAGACGCCATGCCGACTACCAGCACCCCGCGGGGGGGCGTGGATCGCCGGGCGACGCACCAGCTCTTGGAAACAGGGCAGCTGGCGCCCAATGCTGCGGGAGCTCTGCGGATTGTGTTCTTTCGGCAATGTGATCACGGAATCCGTTGCCGCGACATCGGGGCAGCCGCAGGCGTGCCCCCGCTGCGGCGTTTCTGTCGAGGACCTCGAGCACCAGCTGTGGGCGCGCCCGCGATGGCAAGCGAAACGCCACGCGACTTTCGCGACGAGCGGCTTCACCCCGGCCGCCTCGCGCGTTTGCCTGCCAGTCGAGACCGCGAGGATGGCGGTGTTCCCTCTGGACGCCCGCCTGCAGACATTGACGCGCGACGCCCCGCGGGCGCACCAGCTGCCGCCGCTGCCGGACTCCGCCGCGCCGGAGTTGCCGCAGGGGAGGGCTCGCGCTTGGACCGACGGCTCGTGCCCTCGCCCAGCCGACCCGCTGCTCGCCCGAGCGGGTTGGGGATTGCGCTTCGATGGCCTCCCTGGCGGGCGCCGCGAAGTCCACGGCCCCGTGGATGGCCGCCAGACGGCGCAACGCACGGAGTTCTGGGCCGCTGTGCGCGCCAGCAGCCAGGCGCGGGCGCCGCTGGAGGTCGTCACCGATTCGCGATTTGGTCTCGCGCGGGGTGGCCGCCCTGCGCGGCGGCGCGAATCCCGTGGATCGGCATCATGCCGATCAGGGGGAGGCGATCGCACCGCACTGCCGTTCGGGGCTGCTGCGGGCCCGCTGGGTCAAAACTACAGAAGCTAGAGTCGGTGCGGCCGACCGGGGCACGTCAGAGGCTGATTCGGCCGGCAACAACGCGGCCACCGGGTCGCCGACGCTGGCGCGCAGGCCCAGCTCCCGCCTCCGACACTCCTCCAGCAGCGCCTGCGGCAGTGGTATGCGCTCGCGGCGGTCAGTCCAGCGTGAAGTGGCCGCCGTGGAGCTGGCCGCCCTGAGGGCCAACCACGGCAGCGCCGGTTTGGGCGGGCCGCGGGTGCTGCGGCGCTGGTTGGGGACGCGGCGGCCGTCGCTGCCGCTGTGGCGCCGCTGCAGGGGGCGCTGCAGGACAGCCGCCCAGCGCGGCGTGTCCCGCGCACCCCCGCGCCGGGGAGGCTGCTGCAGCGTGGGGCCCACTTCGCGGGTGGCGCCTGGCGGCCCCGCGCGGCGGCGCAGGGCCCCGCGTGGGTCGCATGCTTGCGGTGCGTCTGCTGGGCGCCGAGCTGGCCGGTGCTTGCGAGCCGGCCGTGCGGCGGCCGGGAGCTGTTGTTGCTCGCTGCTGCCGGCAGTGCCACCAGCCGCGAGGCCGAGTGGTGGGCGTCCTTGCGCGCGCGCCTGCTGGCGCGGCCGGGGGCCGCAGACAGAACCGGGCGTCTCGCCCTGGTGCTGCTCCGGGGGCGGCGACGTTGCCGCCGTGTTCTCTCCCCTCCCATCCGCCTCCTCCCCTTGCTTCGTTTTTGCCTTCCCTTCGCCGCTGGGCTCCTGTGCGATGGTCAAAATGAAGTGCGATGACGGACCTCGCGGTGAGTGAGGTTGTTTGGAATTCCATTGTCATCCCACTGTCTGTTACGCACCGTTTTGGGACCCCCAGCAATCGCCTACTCATCGCCGATACGGGCCCGGCGAAAGTTATACTGCCGATTCCACCCGCGTCGGTGCTACCCCTTCTGAGCATGTCCCCCCCATCGTGGCTCCTCAATCTTGTGGGCCGCTGTCGGATGTTGATCGACCCCACTCCTTGCCAAGGCGATTCGCGAGTTGCCCGTCCTGGCTTCTCGAGAGGATGGTTCGGGCTCAGTGGTTGCGGCCCGGCGGCCGCAGGATCGGGCCCTGGTCGTTTTCATTCGCCAAGGGTGTTTTGCGAAAGGGGGGTCAACCGTGACGGGAAGGGGGGGGCATACCCAACCACGCAGGCCGCTTTGGTCGCATCGCGCACAGCGATCGGCAACCCGCGCACCAAATGCCACCCTGGGCCCCAGGCCCGGGCATTGCAGCGTGCGGCCGACGCCTGGCAGAGCTGGCCGCTTTGCAAGCACGCGCGTGCGCCGAACACGTCGGAGGCCCGCACGGAGTTTTTGTTTCGGCCCTGGGTCCCTCAACACACCCCGGCGGGGGCGTTCCTGGCGCCGCCCCTTATCGCGATCCACGCGCGGGCAAGATATATATATATATATATATACATATATATGTAGCCACTGCTTCCGGGACTTTATATCTATATATATATATACATATATAATATCTATGTATACATAGAGTTGTGTATATACGCATATATCTATATATATATATAGAGAGAGAGGGGTCGCCAACAGGCCGAGGCGCAGTGGGCATAGATAAACCTCCTTGCCTCTAGGCGCAATCTTGTTTGTCCATGCTCCTTGGCGGTTCTGGCTCTCGTTGGGGATGGAAAATCCGAAGCTCCAGGACGCAACGGACCTGGATGTACATGTTGCCCGCGCCACGGGAAGAAAATGAGGCTTGTTTTACTGCTTGCCTCGCGGCTCCCTCGCTGCAGGTGCCTCGGGCCGCTGCCCCCCCTCTCTCTCCTCTCTCTGAGTGCCCTGCGCCCGCTCGCCTCTGGTCCACGCCGCGTGGCCCTGGCCTCCCACATGGCGTCCGAGTACAGTCACGTCGCCCAGTGAGGATGAGCAACTTTCCCAAGGTCACCCTGGCAAACTGCCCCTCCGGCCCAACTTTGGCGACTTTCGCCGGCCAGCCCCGTTCGAGAACGCCAACATTGCTCTCATACGTCCGTGCATCCTTACCGCGCATCCGTATTATGCGACTTGACTGAAGATGGGGTCGGAGGATCGCGCCGCATCGCCGACTCATCAGGGATGCATCTCGACGTGGAGCCCGATCTCCGCCATGCCGACGCTGCCGATGAATCGCAAATGTCGCCGGTGCATCGGCGATGCATCGGCGATGTATCGGCGATGCATCGGCGATGCGGCGCGTCCCCCCGACCTCATCTGCTCGGACCCCATCTAGGAGAACTCCAGTGGCCATCGGCGCTGCCAGGGAGCTCACTCCGAAAGTGCTTCCCGCTCCTGGGGCGCGGGCGCGCCTTCGCAGGGCGCCGCGGCAGCCGCGGGGTGGCGGGAGTCTCCCGTTTCCCTTCCTTCTTTTTCTTGTCGTCAGCCGCCTCCTTCCGCTCGTGGACGTCTTCCTCGTCGTCCTCTGTCCTGCCCCAGTGGCGAACGCAAACAAGGGCCGCCAGCAGTAGGTGGGGTTCTGTGCTCATTCCGTCTTCAAGTCATTCTAGTCAAGTCCTCGTTGGGGCGTTTGGAACTCTACCTTTGGCTTGTCTGAGCCTCCGGGATTCTGGGTTCAGTCTCACCTTAGAGGGCAAGACAGGGTCTTCGCAACCCAGAGTCTGTCGTCCCGGGCTAGTATCGGGTCGGAAGAAATGGGGAAATTGGTGCACGCAGGTTGTTTCAGCATAGCCGCCATGCCCTCTACTCGACACTTGACCAGCTCTGTCGCCGATTCGAGCTCGAGGTTTCCCCCTTCGAGTTCGTCCCCCCTTTCGTTGCGCCCAACGTTTCCTCACAGACCAGGCAGGCCGGTGCCCCCCGGCCCAGAGACTCACGACCGGAGCCCCAGACGCCATCTTGCTGCTGCGTTCTTGAGCTGGATCGATCTGTTGTGGCCCCGGGGTCCGGCAGAGGGCGAGACAGCCCGGCGAGAACACACCTTGGCATCGCTCGGACGTGTGCATTTTTTTCTCGGCGACGGCCATCGAGGACCATCCTTGATCATTTGGCGGCAAAGACACGCACGACATCGCACAATACACGAGGAATGGACGTCCGAGCAATGGCGAGACACTGCGTCGCCCAGATCTCGGGGCCCGTTCTCTTGCAGCTCCGCACCTCCGCGCGCCCCCCTCTCCGCGCAGCCGCCCCGCTCGCCGACCTTGCGCACCGCGGGCGGGGAGCGCGCCCCCCTCTCCGCGCACCGCTCCTCTCCCCCCTCCTCCCTCCTCTCCCTCCTCTCCCCCGCCTCTCCCTCCTATCCCCCCTCTCCCTCCTCTCCCTCCTCCTCCCTCTCCCTCCTCTCCCTCCCTCCTGCCTGCATGGAGCTGGCCTCTCTCCCCGCTCCGCCCAGCTGCTGGAGCGGCTGCAGCAGATCGTGGACCAGGCCGTGGAGCAGACGCGCGCCCGGCTCCAGGCCCGCGCGCGCCTTCGCGCGCGCCTCGCGAGGAGCCAGCACCGCATTGCCCAGATTGCCCAGGAGGAGGAGGAGGAGGAGGAGGAGGAGGAGGAGGAGGAGGAGGAGGAGGAGGAGGAGGAGGGGAGCGGCGCCTGGGGGAGGGTGACGCAGTGTGCACGTGTTGGCCCCGAAGCGGCCACGCGCAAAGGGGCCCTGTCCGAGGCGGGAACTTGTACACTGACCGCCGCCCGGAGGATCGGTTTGCGGGGGCCTCGGCGGGCGGTGGATATGGACACATTCGGGGCCCCCCGGGGGCCCAACGATGTCCATATCCACCGCCCGCCGGGGCACCAGGGCGTCGGTCCCCAGGCGGTGGATGTGGAGAAGCCCCCCGCCTCGCAGCCCCGCCTCCTGGGAGGCGCGGGCCTTCTCTGCAGAGGCAGGGCTGGCGCCTTCTAAGGAGCGGCCTCCCCCTCCTCCTCCTCCTGAAGGGCCCACGCCTCTTCCCCAGGCGGCGGCGGGGGGGCGGGGGAGGGCAGCGCCTCGCCTTCATCCCTCGCTTCGCCGCCAACTTCCGCGCGCTCCCCTCCCACGACGGACGACCCAGGCTCGACGACCCCAGCCCCCTCATCCTCGCCGCCATCATCGGCGTCGGCTGGAACCTGAAAACTGCCGAGATCGACGTGGCGCAGCCAATCGAGTGGGACATGGTCGAAGACGGCGGCATCAGCAATCATCGCCTCCTGACGCGCCGAATACCGAGAGACAAGCCGTGCAATCTCATGACATCCGATGATGACAAGGCGATCGCAATAATCACTGCGATACATCTCTGCCCCCTGGCGCGCATACAAGTCAGCCGCACGGTTGCCCAACCACTGAACACGCGTCAGGCGGCCATCGATCACGTCCCTCTCTGTGCAATGGGAAGGGACCTTACAAGCACTGCAATCATCAAGTTTATCATGCACCTGTGCCCACCAGTGGGCCCTCATGCTGTCCGGCCCTGCGGCCGACCTCGGCCCTGGCATCGAAGCTGGGCCTCGCAGATGTGCCAGCTCTTGGACCCGGCCCAGCTGTTGAGCGGGTCGGCGTCGACCTCGTCCGAGGCCTTGCGCTATTTGGATTCTCCTCTCGCGCCCAAGCTGAGGAGTTAGGGCAGCGAGTCCTTGACCGGAGAAAGCGCGAGGTGGCGGATTTCTCGGACGAAGGCTAACCTGTTTGTTTTTGTTTTGATGCATGCTAATGCGATGACTTCGTTAGTCGGTGTGGTGCTCCTCCTCCTCCTCCTCCTTCTAATGAGTCTCCCCCCATCCCCCGACCCCCGTGCCTCGCGCCGCCGATGAAAGGGGCCCCCCAGGGGCGCACAAGGGGCACGACAGGAGCACTTTTCTCAGGAGGGGAAAAAACACACAGACACAATTAATCGGCGATTCCCAGAAAATATGGGAAAATATGGGAAGTGGGGGGGAAGACAAAAACCCAGAAAATATGGGAAAATATGGGGGATATCTTTATTTGAATATATTTATTTGTGTGTCTCAGTTCCCCTTCAGTTTCTCCCCCAAGCAGAGCCCAAATGCCTGGAAACGGCCCCCAGAGGGTTGAAATCCGAGAGGTCCGCCTGCCGAACTTGTGGAAGCGTCGGGCGAGGATCACGCGTTTCTTGAGGACTGTCTTCGGGTTGCCAACGGCCGGGTAGCCGTGTGGTCTGACGTCCGATTTCGGCGACGAGCCACCACCGATGCGGGCACTGGCTGCACAGAGAGGCTCCTTCTTTGAGAGAGCGACAAGCGCACTCACAGACCAGCCTCGCCTCTGATGCCGTGCAGCACCGCGGCACTGAGAGCCAGACTGTCTCGGAGATCTGGTCCCCCGCGCGTGCGGCCGGTCTCGGCCCCGCCACCAGGCGCCTTCCTCCATGCACGGGCGCCTCTGGCGTCAGGAGGCGCCAGGAAAGCCAGACCAACCCCCATGCGTTACCCTTCCCCCGTTTCGCCCGACCCAGCGAAACCCTGGGATCTGGGGCCCGGTTGCGCCAGGGTTCCTCGTCCCCCATGCCAAACCAGGTGTGGGGGGGGCGGATCCGAGCATCTAGGCTCGCCCGGGGTCTTGCACGATCTGGGCCCCGTCGGGCCCGCTTGCGTTCCCTTTCCCCTCGCATATCCGCAGCAGCCAATCCAGCGACGAGCTCTAGGCGAGTTGCCTTGACTAGGGTCACCAGCGTAGGAGCATACGGCGGCCTAGGGCACCACATGAGCGGGCAGCCGCCCTGCCACCTGCACATGTTTTTCTTTGGTATCCTCATCGGCACGCTGAAGCGCTTCCCGTAGGGGTGCCGCGCGGGCGCTCCCGATTCGGGTTGGCTCGCGAGCTTTTTTTTTCCCAACCGTCCTGTGGTGTTGGGTCCTCGTTTTGAAGAGACGGTGCCCCGCGTCTCCTTCCTCCTCCTCCCGCTGTCTCCTCCCTCCCCCCCTCATCATCATCATCATCATCATCATCATCATCATCATCATCATCATCATCATCATCATCATCATCATCATCATCATCATCATCATCATCATCATCATCAGCATCATCGTGATCGTCATCATCATCGTCCTCGTCACCATCATCATCGTCCTCATCATCGTCACCATCATCGTCATCGTCTTCGTCCCACCACTCGGACGTTTCGTGACCCCATCGGGAGCTCCAACGAAGCCACCGAAGGTCCCAGTGGCGCAGTTCGCATGCGTGACCCCCACCCAGGACAGCGTTTCGTAGCCCCATAGGGAGCTCCACCTAAGGTCCCAGTGGCGCAGGTCGCATGCGTCTCCCCCACCCATGACAGTGCTTCGTGTCCCCATAGGGATCTTCCCACCGAAGGCCCCAGCTGCACTCGCATGCGTCCAGGACAGCGTTTCGTGGCCCCGTATGGAGCTCCACCGAAGGCCCAAGCTGCACTCGCATGCGTCTCCCGCATCAAAAACAGCGTTTCGTGGCCCCATAGGGAGCTCGACCGAAGTCCCAGTGGCGCAGTTCGCATGCGTCTCCACCCACCCAGGACAGCGTATCGTGGCCCCATAGGGAGCTCCACCGAAGGCCCCAGTGGCGCAGGTCGCATGCGACTACCCCACCCAGGACAGCGCTTCGCGGCCCCATAGGGATCTCCACCGATCACGATAGTCACAACGACGGTACTCACAACTGCATATGGTTGGGTCATTCGCCAGTCTATTTTCCTGCCACCTCGGAGAGGCGCGAACAGGCCCGGAGCCAACCACAGTTGCCCTCGCGCCCTGGGCCGATCGCGGGACTCTCTCGGAGGCGGCGTGGGAGGCCGCTGGGGCTCGCGTGGGAGCGCTCTTGGACGGTGAGCCGAATTGGAGCCCACCTCTTGCTGCCAGATTGTGAGCGAAAGCTCTCGGATGCATGCGTGCACCCAAGAGGAGGAGGAGGAGGAGGAGGAGGAGGAGGAGGAGGAGGAGGAGGAGGAGGAGGAGGAGGAGGAGGAGGAGGTGGGGAGCCTCTCCTTGGGGCGCTCGCGGATGCCTGCCGAGCCGACTGTGGTGCCGGCGTGGGCCTCCTGCTCGGGCCCTTCTGGAGCGACCTTGGGGCCAGCCTGAGGCGCCCGACGCCCATGCGAAGCGACAAGGCGAGAAGCTCAATGAAAACGACGCGAAGGTCGGGACAAAATCGGATCGGGATAACTCGAAGTCTCTGAGAATCGGCGGGTTTGGAGGATGTATCGGGCGCCGCGGCCGCTCCAGAGCGTTCCGGAGCGCTCTGAGAGCGTTCTGGAACGCTCTGGAGCGATTTATCCCGATCCTAGCCCTGTTTTATCAATTCCATACATTGATCATGTATTAAAAATCATATAACTAAAAAAAACGCCCATGTATTTTAAAAAATGCCCCGTAGTTGTAATCGGATGCTGGTTTCCGGGGAACCCCTCGGGAGACTCCGAAGCCACGTTGAGCGTCCTGGAGGCGTATCATTGCCCCACAGGGGGGGGGGCTCCACCGATGGCCTCAGTGGCAAGGTATCGCATGCGGTCCCCGCGCTCGCTTCGGCGCACCCCTCGCGCGCTTTGTTGCCCCGCAGGGAGCTTCACCGAAGGCCTCCGCGTTCGGTTCCCCAGCAAATGCCAGAACACCCCCCACGCCTTTCGCGGCCCGCTTCTTCAATTTCGCGGGAGGGGCATGTCTTGCGTCACTCGCGGCTACATTGGGTCGAGTCCTTCGCCTGGCTATTCTTTGACAGGGGCAGCAGGGTGGTGCCCGCACGGGTGGTGGTCGGCGGCCGGCCGAGCGCAGTGGAAGAGGGGGTGCGTACCGAACAGGAGCAGCGACGCACCCTTCCCCGAAGGGGAGGAAGGGGGCGCGTGCCTGGAAGAGGTGGCCCCCCTGAATCGCTTGCGCCCAGAGTGTTGGTTGGATTTGACCAGGAAGGACCTTGGGAGGGGTTCGAAGACTGATGTTGAGCGTCGGCTCGGCCCAGGCATCGTCGTCGTCGTCGTCGTCATCCTCTTGCTGATGTTGGTTCTCCTCCTCATTCCGTCCTTCCTGCTCTCGCTCATCCTCCCTGCCATTCCTCCTTCTGCCAGGCCACTGCTGCTCCTGGTCCTCCTCGCTTTCCTACTCAGGCCGGTACACCACCTCTATCTCACCCTCCTTCTCCCTCGTCCTCCCTCTTTTGCTGGTCTTCCCTTGTGACAGTCGCAGATCGTTGCCCCCTTACCTCTTCTTCCTTTTCGTTCCTCCCTCCTTCATGTCATCAACATGTCATACAGCCTCCTTCCGTTAAATCCCTTTGGAAAGTCCAACAATGAATATTCCCCTTTCCTTTCTTCTCGTCCTTCGCATCTGACCCTCAGTTCCTTCATCGTCCTGACCTTCACCCTCGTCCCTCTCGTCTTCCTCCCTCGCTCCCGTACCCCCGCGTCTCTCTCTGGCCTCCCTCTCCCCTCCCTGTCCGGTCTCCCTCTGCCCTCCTTCCTGATCGTTTCTCCCGGTGCATCCAGAAGACACATGGAACCTCCGGGGGACATTCGGGGGCCTCCATAGGTTTTCTAAGCGTGGTGAGGGGAGGGTGCGTGAGGCCAGGGCTAGTAGCGACCTCCTCTTTCCCCTCCCTCCCTCCTCGATCATCCCTCATCCCTCCCGCCTCCTCAACTCTTCCTCCCTGCTGCCTGCTCCATGCTCTTTGTTGGAATCCCCGTCCTCCATATCATCCCCTCGTCTGTCTTCTCCCTTCTTTAATTCCTCATTTCGCCAGGATGCGGGATGAGCTTCGATTGCTCTGTTTGGAGGGAACCCGATTTCTCCTGGAACCATTTTTCGATTGTTCTTTGCTCCCAGTGGGAGTGTTTGAGGATCGTCTTGAAGCTCTGTCGGGGAGCTCTTGGAGGCTTGTCGGATCTGTTTGAGCCGTCCTGGAGGCCGCAGATCAAAGAAGAACGTGCGCTCAATTCTCACACCTGCCCCTCGGAGCCTGCAGATACGCTTTGGAGACCTCCTGGAGCTACCTTGGGGCGCTGCAGGGGGCCTTTGCGGTGCTCTTGGTATCATTTTGAGCTCGTCCTCGGGCTCTCTTCGGCCATATTCGGGCCATCTGGAGTCCCCAGAAGCCCATCGGAGGCGGACAGGGCGAGAACGCTAACGTGACTGAGACCACGATTGAGTTTTCTAGCGGTTGCAACCTCCTTGGGAAAGGTGGACCGTCGGGGCGCCTGGGAGGAAGTAGGTTGCTGAGGAGGAGAACCAGTGATCTTCCATCTCTGCCAGTCCTGATCATTCCTCTTCTCGTGCCCCTCATCTGTATCCTTCTCATCAGCCATCACTGTCCTTCGTCGTCCTTCTCGTCCTGCTCTGCCCATCCTTCCCACCCCCCAACCGTCCCCTTTGCTTCTACATCCTTGTTTCCTACACCTTCTCTTGGAGGATGATTCGGGGGACCAGGGTAAACCTGAGTCCCGCTGCGAGTAGTCCCTGCACGCATTCTTTCTTGCTGCGAGATGCGCCCCTTTTGCGGTTCAGTGTTAGGAAGGTTCACGCAGGAGCCCCATTGCGAAAACGGTTCGGCCTGCATCAGTGTAGCAGTTTTTTTTTCAGGCGGGTGTGCGCGGAGCCAAGACGGCCATTCCATGCTGAAAATGATTCGCCTGCATCCGTGTAGCTGTCGGAACATCTCAGACGAGTTTGTGCGGCGCCATGTCGAGCGAGACCCATTTCTATCCGAGCCACTCTGCATCCGTTTGACTGTTGGACATGGCGAAGGCGAGTGCGCGCGGCGCCAAGGCGATCGCCTCACTTTCAAAGCGACTCGCCCTCCATTCGTGCAAGTGTTGAGCTGTTTCAGTAATAGTGTGCGTGGCGCCGGGGCCAGAGCTCAGTTTGTCAAAACGATTCGCCCACCATCCGTGTCGCTGCTGCCTTTGACTGCAGAGTCGAACATGGTGAGGACGTCTCCCGCGAAACGCCCGGAGGCGGCGACAGAGTCGTCGACGTCGCCAACGCGGCGGCAGCGGCGTCTGCGACAGCGACGGTTGCGACGACTACACGGCCGACGACGACCACGACGAGCCCGCGGCGTCGCGGCCCAGGCCGAGCACGATGCGGCCCGGCGCCAGGTCGAGGCGGCCCGCCTCGCCGCGCCGCCGCTGCGTCGCTGGTGAGGGCGGCGCCGGTCGGCGCGAGCGGTGGCAGCGGCGCCGCCTCGCCGCCGCCGCCGTTGCCCTCGGCGTCGTGGCCGTTGCCTGCCGCCGTCGCCGTCGCGACATTGGCGGCGGGGCCCGCCGTCGCCGCCTTGGGCGGCAGCGGGGAGGACGACGGCAGAGGTCGGTCGGGGGCAGCAGAGTTCAGCCTGTCAGGATGGGGCACCGGAGTGCCACGTGTGGGGGCCCGCCCGGATGCCTGCAGGGACCTCCAGGCCGGGACCTCTCTGGAGCTGTGCCCCCCAGGTCTCGGGCCTGATCGTTGCCACCTGTGGGAGGGCATCATGCGGGCCGGTACCTTGCCTGACTCGCATGCGGCCCGTCCCACCTCCTTCGCCGCGAAGGGGGGAAGCGGGTGTGGTGGTTTGGACCTCGCCCGTTTGGAAGGGTCGAGGTGACGACACGTCCACGTCCACCGTTCAGGGTAGCCTACGATTCAATTCAATGCGATTCGATTCGCCGGCCGGGGCCGTGAGTCTGGTTCGATTCGATTCGGTTCAATTCATCAGCATCGGCTGGGACCAGTCCAGAGCGGGGCGCGGGGATCCGATTTCGATTCGTTTCGGGACGACTCGTTGGCGATCCGCTCCGTTTCCGATCCGATCCAACTTCGCAAGTGGATCCAGCCCTGACCTGCCGTTCCCTGGCGGGAGCTCAGGGCAGCAATGCACGTGGCCGTCTCATGGCACGGCACGCTAGGGCGCCGCGTCGGTGCGCTGGGTTTGCGTGTGCCCTGCCCCCGCGCGGCGAGGCGAAGGTGGCCCAGCGCGAGGACCAGACCCCCCCCGCGCGAGCGCCAGCAGTGCCTCCGCCGCGTCGTCGCCGTCGCTGCTCTCGGCCCCAGGCTCTCGTTGCCGCTCGTTGCCGTGGCAGGAGGGGGGGTGGCGTGCCGTGCCGGTACGAGCGATCGCCCTCTGGCGCCCTCGCATCCTCTCATATCCTCCTCCTCCTCGCCGCCTCCTCCTCCTCCTCCTTCTCCTCCTCGCTGGTGGTCTCCAAGGATCCCCAGAGGAGGCCCAGCAAGGTGCAGCCGCGGAGCTATACCCAGGGGCGCTGCGGCACGGGGGGAGGGGAGGAGGATGGGGGAGGCGCGTCGGAGGGGGGACGATGTTTGGGCAGGGGGGGGGGGGGCAGGGAGCGGAGGAGGGGGTGCAGGCAACCTGGTTTGATCTTACCCCCTCCCCCGGGGCGACCCCCCCTTGGGGGGGGGGGATGGCAGCGTCCCTGTGGCCCTGGCGACTCAGATGCCTTCAGGTCGTCCAGGGGCGGAGGGCGGAAGAGGGAGGAAGGGGGGCAGAGGAGGAGCAGAGGGCGAGTCACCCCCCTTCTTGCGCTTCGCGCCACGCGCCTCCACGTCAGGCAAAACCAGGTCATACCACCTGCCTCCTCGTCAAAGCGGCCTGACTGGTGCGGGCCGCAGCTTGGTATTGCTAGGTATCTTTGGGAGCGGACTGGTCAGAAGCGAGGTCTCGGGTGGGTTACTTGTTTGGGCCTCTCGGGCTCCTCTCATTTGAGAGCCGCATGATCACCATGATGGACACCCCGAAGGGGAGCCGACGGAGGGTGCATCACGAGCCCATTCGCGCTCAGATGGTCGGGATGTCTCAAGCTGTTTGCTTGACGTAGCCTCTCGGGCCTCTCATTTCAGCATGGTCCTCTTTCAACATGGGGACCGCGCTGGACAGCACGCTCATCCGTATGCTAATACAGCTTCGCATGTCCTGTTATTCGTTAGAAGGATGCAAGGTACGCTTCTTGACGGGGCTCTCGCTTGAGTGACAGGTCTCTAGAGCGCTGGTCTCTCAAGGGGGCGTTTCTTGTAGTGTGAGATGGCGTGGATTGACTGATGAGGAGGGGGCTTGAGACGGCGATCGTGTATTGCAGCATTGTTGGTGCATCGTGGGTTTACTCTGGCCTTCCTCCTCACCCCTCTTCCCTGCCTCCCTCCTCCCTCCTCGTCCCTTTTCTCTGCCTCTCCTGCCCCCTTCGTTTTCCCTCTCCCTCCCACCGAGGTGCAGTATTGTTGGTGCATCTTTGGTATACGATTGCCCCCCCCTCATCCCTCTCCCATGGCTTCTCTCCTCCCTCCTCATCCCTCTTCTCTGCCTGTCCGCCTCCCTGACTCTTCCCTCTCTCTTCCCCTCCCCCCGAGGGTGTGTTGCAGCATCGTTGGTCTCATCCCTCTTCAAGCTTTCCCTGCCGCTCTGCCTCCCCTCGTCTTCCGTGCTCCTCGCTCCCACGTGCTCACACGCATGTACGATGTGGGACCTAGTATCTACACACGTGAATGCAAAGCGTTTGCAGCACTGGCCATGCAAACGGTGGACCGACGATGTGGCATCATTTGCTGGTGTTACCTACGCAAAAGGAGTGGGAATCAGGTGTGATGGACATTGACTGATGGGCAAATTCTTGAGGCTTCGCGTATCCCCACCAGCTTGCTAATTTGACAGGCCCGTGGCCCGGACCTCTCAGCTCGGCGACTGCGAATCCGCGTCCGCCCGCGACAAAAAAAAGTATGCCCACCAGCCCATCCAGAAAAGATCAGCAGGGGAGTTGGTGAATCAAAGGCGGCAGGACGCATGCAGTCGCGCAGCCGTCTTCGGGAACACAAGGATCACGAATAGCTTCCCGCATTACAGCTTAAGATAGAAATCAGTGCAAGCTACGATGGTGCTTCGATGAGGGGTGAGAGGTGTTTCGATGACTCGTAATGGCTGTTGCACTGATTTGTATCTTAAGCTCGCGTGCGTCCCGACACTTGGCGGCATCTTGGGGCTCTCTTGGGATTCTCTTGGGCCACTCTTGGGGCCTCCTGGGGCTGTTTCTTGGGGCTCTCTTGAGGTCCTCTTAGGGCCTTCTTGGGGCTCTTTTCGGGCGTCTTGGGGCCCTCCTGGGGCTCTTTTGGGAGATCTGGGGGCCTTATTGGTCTTTTGGGATGCTTGATGGGCCTCTTGGGGCCGCCTTGGACCCTATCGCTAAAAAACGGGGGTCCTTAATTCTTGTCCCCCCTCGGAGGCTCAACAACGCCGTCTTGGGGTCCTCTTGGGCCGTTCTTGGAGCGCTCTTGGGCGCTCTGGGGGCCGTCTTGGGGCCCTCTTGTACCCCTTTTGGGGCTATCTTGGGCCGTCTTGGGGCCATCTTGAGGCCTGAAGAGCCCAACGGAGGCGAAAACGCGAGAAGGCAAACACACTGGTTTTCCTTAAGGGTTTGAAGGATGTGGGCCTCTCGGGGAGGTCCTCGGAGGCCTCGGACAGCACTTGAAACCGTCTTGGGGCCGTGGGTAATCTTGGAGGCCATCTTAGGCTCTCAGAGGCCCTCTTGGAGCCATCTTTGGCAATCTTGGACGCTGCTATGGGTCGCGGCCCCCCCGTCCAAACGCATGGAGGGGGGGGGGAGGTCAACCTCCCAAGCAGGGAAATGAAGGAGGTTGGAAAGGAAACGCCCTAGACCACCTGCGCCCAGAGGGCTGGCGGGATTTGGAGGATCCGCACGTGTCGCAGGACTGCGTACAGCGACACAACCACGGGATACGAATTGAATTTGGCGCCACGGCGCCACCGCCTTGCCCTACGCAGGGCCGCCTCCCCAGGACGTTACCGCTCCCGCTTCCTTCCTCCATCCCCCCTCCATACTCCTGGCTCCCTCCCGACTCCCCTTCTCCTCTCCTCCTGGCTCCCTCCTCTCCCTCCTCCTGACTCCCCGTCTCATCCTGGTTCCTCCTGCTTCCGCTTCCTTCCCCCTCCACCCTCTAGGTTTCCCAGGTGGTTGGAGAATCACGCCGCATCGCCGATGCATCGGCGATGCATCGGCGATGCGGCTGGATGCGTAGCCCGATCTTCTCCGTGCGGATGTCGCCGCCCCGTCGCCGATGCGGCGCGATCCTCCGACCCCATCTATTCCGACCCCAATTGGGAGGCCTCTACACCCCCCCTCCTCCCTCCTGGCTCCACTTTTGGCCGCCGGGCAGGGCGGGATGGAAGTACTGCCGATATTCAGTACTGGCTCCCGCCGGGTCGATTCGATCCTGGCTTCCTCCCGACTCCGCCGGGCCCGCCGGGGAGCTGCCAGCGCCGTGAGGCCGAGCTGGAGGCGCGGGCGGGGGCGATGGAGAAGGAGGGCCAGGTCCCGCAGCGGGGTGGGGGGGTCTGGCCTCGAGGGTCGCCTCGCCGTGTGCCTGGTCCACAAACGTCCAGCGGTCGGCTGCCCGTGTAAATCAAGCAGTGGCGATGGCTCGCCTATAGGCTCACCAAATCATGTTCTAATAACCGTGTCTGGTTTCCACGAAATGCTCTAAGAACATTTCTGGCAGGGACTGTGTTGTTTTAACATATAGGGATCATGTTCTAAGAACATTGCTTTGTTATTAGAACAGTGTGGGGTTCTGCGAACATGTCGTGGTAGGCCTATAGGAATGCTGGGACAGTCGGTCCCTGCTCAAGTAAATCGAGACGCCATATTTCTGGGTTCTTCCCGCCTCCTCCTCTCGAAAAGGAAGATAGGTATCAACATGAGTTCTTGGGGGCTCGCGCGGATGTTCTCCACCCCGACGGCGCCGATGCATCGGTGGGGACGTCGATTCACCTGTAAGAGTGGCACACTGCTTATTCCATCACTCACTTGTCGGAGTTACGCGCAGATTATTGGGATCGGCGTTGCTTTCCCTTCCACCCCTGGCGGCGCCTGCGACTGGCGCGCGGAGCGGGCCGGGAAGAGGGATCCAGCGTCGATCTCAGAATCCGCGCGGACCTCAGATGAATTCGGTTTATGATTACGTTGCCCCTCGATCCTCGTGCTCGTCCTCCTCCTCCTCGTGCATCCCCTCCTCCGCTGCCGCCAGAGATCGCGCCGCCCGCATGACTGTGCGCGGGTGACGCGAGTCCCGCGAGCAGCCCAACTCGTTTGACCTTCTTTGAGTTACGGTTGATGTGCTTTAATGAATGCGGTCGCCTATTCAGTTTGTGCCGTGCTCTCCGTTCCTCCACCTCCACCCACTTCCTCCACCCCCTCTGTGCCGTCGCTCCTCCACCCTCTCCTCTCGCCTCCTCCATCCCGTGCTCCTCCTATTCTTGTTGATCTTCCTGGCGGAGAGAAACGACTCAGGGGCATCGTTAGGGGGGGGACAGGACTCGGGGGGAGCGCATCGACCCCCAGTCGCCCACTGAGTCGCCCATTGAGTCGCCCATTGAGTCCACCCATTGAACTGGTCCCCCTGGTCCGTGCCCCTCAGCGACTGGGGGGGGGGATGTGGAAGTGGAGGGCCTGGAGGTGCGTGTTGGCTTCTCGCCAGGTGGTGCAGGGTCTAGGGGGGGGGGGATGTGGAAATGGAGGGCCCGGAGGTGCGTGTCGGCTCCTCGCCAGGTGGTGCGGGGTCCAGGGGGGGTGGGGGACATCCATGTCCAGGATCGGGATACGTCGCTCCGCAGCGTTCCTGAGCGATCTGAGAAGGCTGTGGCGCCCGACTCAGACATGAGATGTTCTGATGTTTGCAATGCGGGTCCCCGGAAGTCCCGACCCTTCTTCCTTTGGGGCTGGTTTTTCGCCCTGAGTCTTTTGTGACGGTCCTGGGGCCTGGCAAGCACCTCAGTGGCCGAACACGGCAAAACAAAAATGCCGTCGTAGTTTCTTCACGACGCGAGCATGTCTGGGGACACCTCCCTCATCACCGCTGGATCTCAGAGGTCCCCGACTTATCCCCGTCCGATGTTGTCCCGAACTTGGCTTCCTCGTAGGGGGGAAGGCGGCGCCCGCGCCCGTGCAGGTCATGGCCGCCGCGCGGGCCGACGAGGTGTTGGATCTCAGCCTGGCCGGCGAGCGCGACGTCTCTGTGTTGCGCAGCACGCTGTGCGCGGTGGGCGCGGTTGTTGTTGCTCTGCCCTCTCCTACTTGCACTTCGCCGTATCCTCCTCCTCCTCCTCCTCCTCCTCCTCCTTCTCCTTCTCCTTCGACCTGTCTTTCTAGCCTCCCTCCCTCGCCTCCTTCTGCTTGTCCTCCTCCTCCTTTTGAAATCATCCGCCCGCTGCTGCCGCCGCTCCCTCGTCGCCCGCCTCTTTTTCACCTCGTTCGTGTGCTCTGCCTCCTTCCTCTCGTTCCTCGGCTGGGTCTGCAGGCGGCCCAGGCTTCCATCTGCCGTCCCTGCTCCACCTGGGGCAGGATGCGCTGGAGGCTCGGCGGCGAGCCCAGGGGGGAAGTGAGAGGGGGCAGGCCTCCTCGGAAGGGGCGGGGCTTCTCAGAAGCCCTCCGGCCTTCTCAGCAGCCGCCTGTGGTCTCGGAGAAGGCTTGCAAGGCCTCTCAGAGGGGCTCGTCGCCGAGAGGTGGGGTTGGGCCGGGCTGCGCTCGAGGTGGCTCGGGCAGTGCCGCCTGGGGGCGACCCCTCGCAGCGGCGGCGCTCGCGGACTCCACGAGTAGGCCGCGCGCGGACTCCCGGCCGCCCGGCCGCGGCTTCCGCGCCCCAGGCCGGCGTCGCCGTTGAGGATCTCCTCGGCAAGCACGGCTGCCCCAGCTCGGGTACTTCCGGGCCGGACGAAAGGGGGGGATAGGGGAAGGGGGGGTTACAAAGTCTGCTGCATGCAGCTGGTTTCGGCCCCACCGAGGGGCCCATTCCTCGATACATGGGCGCCTGCGGCGCCGGGAGGCGCCGGGAAAATCAGCTACGTGAGCTGATTCTCCCCCCCCCCCTTTGCTATCCCCCCTTTCGCCCGACCCGATATTTCCGCGGCAGTAGGCCTTGGCATCGAGGGCGGAGTTGGCCAAGCCCCTCGCGCTGGAGGCCGAGGGGAGCAGGCCAAGGCTCGGGCCAAACTTCTGTTCACGCCCGCTGCAGGAGGGTCGCCACCGCTCGCGAAGCCCAGGGCCGCCATACCCGCAAGATTCGTGCCGCGGGACCGCTGGCACGATTTGTCACCTATTCACCAGCCTCGAACGTATCCCTATCCCTAAGATTGACACGCCAAACGGCGATGACAATCTTAGGGATTCGCCCTCAAAAAATAAGGGAATCCCTAAGATTGGCATCGTGATGAGGAGGTGCCCAGCATAGGGATAGGGATATGTTCCAGGCTGGTAACCTATGGGATCTGAAATCTATGGTTGTTCGGGTTCTGACGTGTCTGTCCTCCGTTCTGGATGCGGCACATCGGTCGAGTTTTTCACTGGGCCCAGGTCGCTTACCTCGTCACGTATCGTGCAGCTGTTTCCCCTGTTGCTAGTTTTTCCAGGGTCTGTGGGATGCCCGGGTACAGCTTACTCCGCGTGCCCTCGCCTCCGCTACTCTTCGCGATGATTCGTAGCAGATTTCGACCAAGCCACCGTCAATTGGGCGCCAATTCCGAAGGTCCTTGGGCCACGTATTTGTCTCTTGTTAGGATAGGTTGGGCCATGACGAGTTTTGCCCAGCTCACGACGGATCAGGGAATCACCATCTGCCCCGCCGCTTTCTCCCCCAAGCTTGTCCAGATAATGCTGTGCGAGGCGGTCATCAGGTGTATGCGCCGCACCGTTGAACAGAATCGGGCTATGCCGCGACTGTGTGATCCGCGACCCCCTCCTCCCCTCCCCCCCCTCCTTCTTCTCCGTTGTTCCAAATGCACGTCTTTAGAGAAGGGCTCGATCCGGGCCAATGCTTGTGGGACCTGCTGGGCTCTGGAGCGAGCGGCCCAGCGCAGCAACCCAATCGGCGGCGCGATCAGGTTCCAGCTCTGCGGGGGTCCTACGGTTTCCATTTTTCACTGGCTGTGGGTACGTCCAGGAGTTGTGGATCTCAGGGGGGGGAGGGGTCATGTGACGCGGACGTTTTAACGGCAGCCCTATAGAGTGACCCCGCCTCCTGCTCCAACGCAGACCCGGTCCCGTTCACCGAGGGGCTCTTCCCTCATCCAGGTGATGTGGTTTTTCGGCTTGATCGAGACTCTGCCCCTGAGGTGACATGGGAAGGTGAGCCCCATCCAGGAGATGAGCAACATTTCTCGGGCAAGGTGTTCATGAGCGGGTCGTTCCAGAAGCGCGTAGTGAGGGAATCAATTAAAATTCCACTAAAAATTGGCCCTCCGTGTGTGGGCCCCTCTCCGGGACAGGTTCCCCCAGACCTCCCAAGCCGCTGATTGCGTCGTGCTTCTCTATGCTTGTTCGTGTCTCGCCAGATCGTCTGTTGGTTTCAGCGATTGTCTCAATGGTTGGAAGGCCTTTAAGCTCGACCGTGCTAAGATGCTGTCGTGCAAGCTTTGCGCAGGCCTCCTGGTAAACTCCGCTTGGGCTCCTTTTGTTCCCACTCTGGTTAAGGTCTAGGCCCGCGCGGCCGAGTCTGAGGACCTCTCGGCCCGGGATCGCTTCCTGAAAGAAGTACTCCAGATCTCGTAAGAAAGGGAGGGGGGTCTCATGTCGGGGGGGGGGTCTCTTCCAGGCTATCTTGGAGGGCCCAGGGGGTCTGGGGACGATGTTTTGGAGTGTTCTCCCACGGGGGAGGTCTGAAATGGCTTGTCTTGGAGGGTCCAGACGAAATCTGGAGTAACGAGGAGGTTCATCGATCAGCCAAATTCGGAGTGGTCATGCGTCCGAGCCACGAGGTGTAGCACTTCGTCGAAGTGCCGCGCAACATGTCTCGCCTCGCCGCTCGTCTTCTTCCGTCTTGGCCGCGACTGGACCTCGACGGAGTCTCCTTCCAGGCGCCCCCGAAGGTGCCCCGGGGCCCACCCTCCAGCCCCTCAGGGCAGCACGAATGGAGGTGGTGTAGGATTGAGTCGGGCCTGTCCCTCTACAGGGGGAATCTTCAAACATAGTCCAAAAAGAGTATGTGACCATTTTGGGGCATTTGTAGTGTATTTTTTGAGTTTCGTCGAAAAAAACCCTGTAGGGGGACACGCCCGACTTAAGTGTAGGACTTGTTGGCGGTGCGGCAAATTTTTCAGATTTCGCAGGCAGGCCGCGCGCCCATCTCCTGGGGGTTGCGCGGGGAACCTGCCCCCAAGTTTCCTCGTCTGTTGCTGCGCGCGGTCACCCCTGCCTCGCTTTGGAGATGGCCAACGATCAGATTTCGATCATTTGCACGCGCGAAGTGCAAGACTTTTCTCCACTCTTGGACACATTCGACAGCTTCGAGGTGAGTGCACACGTCCCCACGGCAGAGCCCCGGTGTACTGGTCCAGAGTGAAGCGAGGCTGGCACCCGAAGGAAGTTGTTTTGGTGGAGACAGTTCCATCAGGTACAGTCGGCCCGAATTATTAGGTCGACCCTGCCAAATCAAGGGAACTTTTGTCTTGTGTCTCGCGACCCATGCATCCTTACCTTGCTATGGCAATTTGGCCCTCGGAACCTCGGAAGGGTCTGGTGTCCTCTCGCGTGTCCTGTCCAGTCAAGTCCGCCTGTAGCAAGGCTGGAGGCTGGCAGGGCGCTCGTCCCCCCCCCCCAATGTCCTTTCCTTGAGGGCCAGCCCTCGCGTCGCGAGGTGGACGGCTCCATGCTCGCCGCGACCTTCAGCGGGCGCGGGGGGGGGCCCGGGGCGGGGGGGCTCACCTCGGGGGCCAACGTGCGGGGGCAGAGTGGGGAAAGAGGGGGAAGGGGAAAGAGGTACACATATTGCCATCCTTCTCTCGTGGTTGCTTTTTGGGCCTCCTTGCTGGTCCTCGCCGCCACCGCTGGATTCGCCTCGGATTCCTGGTCAAAACGCACCCCGTGAGAGGTCCAGGGATTATCAGTACCGGTACTTTCTGGTAATGGAGGAAGGTGACATGAGGAAGGAAAAAGGAGGATGTGCTTTGGACGGAAGGGTGTACCGCCGCATCGTTGAGGCATCTTGGGTTTATTATGATTCGCCTTCTCCTCCTCCCCCTGCGCGCGCAGGAGCGACCGCAAGTAAGGGGAGGCAGGAGGAGGACGGAGGAAGTAGGACGGAGGAGGAGGAGGAGGAGGAGGAGGAGGCAGCTCGAGAGGGTCGATGGGTTTGGGGGAGGAGCATGTGGAGAAGATCATCAAATTTCCGAGGCGGGGATTTTTACGTAATTAACCATCGCCTGGGGATCGATCTTCGAGGACCTCATCGGGCTGTGAATGTGGATACATTTAGTTTCCAGGGGGGCGAATCATATCCGTATCGACCGCCCGCTGGGGTCCCAGGACGTCGGTTCCCCAGGCGGTGGATTTGAATAGATATCCGCCTCCCAAAATTGGGAGAAGGTCCGCAGGGTTTCCAAGCATACAGTGGGAACTCATGCCAAGAAACACCCTGCTTGCCTCCAGGATGCCCTCGGTTTCTTGTGTTTCGATGGTTTTGCTATGGCAAGCGTGACGCTCCCACACCAGAAATCAATGAACGGCCTGGGGTCTCAGGGTTGGGTTTCTTGCGAAGGTTTCTTGTGGTCGAGCTCCTGCATACCCAGGGCGACGATGTCAGCCCAGCGAGTTCGGCAGGTGCTGTGCGGCTCAGGTCGTGCGCGATCCTCCCCCCTGGCGCCGCTGGGCCTCCGCAGTCGAACCTTCGTGGTGAGGTAGTCTGCCGCTTCGTACTCGTGGGCGTCCTCGCGCTCGTGATCGTCCTCCTCCATCGTCCTCCTCCTCCTCCTCCTCGTTTCTCCCTCCTTCTCCCTCATCCTCCTCCTCCTCCTCCTCCTCCTCCTCCTCGTCCTCCTCCTCTCTTCGGGGCTAGGACGAGGATGAATCCGTTCCAGAGCTTTCTGGACTGCTCTCAGAGCGTTCCAGAACGTTCTGAGAAGGCCGCGGCGCCCGATACGTCCTCCAGAGCTGCCAGGTCTCAGAGATTCTAGATTCGGCCTCACTCGAATTTGTCCTCGTCCTGGTTTCGTCTTATCCCTCCTCCTCCTCCTCCTCCAGCACCGTTGTCGGCGGGCCGGTGTCCACGAGGTCCAGCGAGCGGAGTGGAGGCTGCGTGTTGTGCACCAGATGCTGCGCAGCCTCGCAGCATCTCCTCCCGGGAGCCGAGGGGAGGCGCTGGGACACCCAGGCGCCGAAGGACTCCCGAGGGCGCTTCTTCATAGACTACCCGCCGCAAGGACGCCGCTGCCTGGTACGAGTACGGCTGTCCGCCTCGATGCACTCTGGCTACGTAGCACCCCGCAGGGGGCGGATGAGGAGTAAGAGGGGGGTGGTGGAGACGTCGGCAGTCTGCGAGACTCTGGAGATGCCCGCCGCAGGCGCCAAAGTTTCACAAATTATGCAACGAGCCCGCCGCAGGCGCCGACTGCTTCGGCGAAGCAGTGTGGGTAGGTCGCGGGTGGGTCGCAAATGCGTCGCGGGTGTGACGTTGTTGGGGGGCTAGAAGTATATTGTTCGGCATGGCTACACTGTGTCAACTTGCAAAAACGGTCGTAATACAAGAAATGCGGTGTTCCTGGGATTCCCCCCCGTCGGTGTGCGAATACTCATTCCAGAATAGCTAGCACGACAAAATAAGAAAGTCACGCGCTCATGCTGCGGGTTGGGTTGTCAGTGGTCACGCTAGCGGAACGATAGCGTGCATGATGGCGCGCGGGGGCGCGATGATGGCAGTCGGGCAAAATTTGCCATCATATGGAATCAATTACTATTTGATTCGCCGTTCCCTTCGATTGTAGCTTACTCGAAACGTAATGTCGCATATACTGGCAGTACGGTGCTGATTCTGAAACATGCGTGCTCAGGACCAAACAACAACAACTGCAGTATGAACACATTGAAAATCAGGTATGGCGCGTGGACTCTGACGTCGGGGTCTGCGCAACACTTCCTATCTGCTGCCCCTCTTCCTCCCTTCTCGCTGCTTCCCCCTCCTTTTCACCCGACTTCGACGACGACGAGTGATGACGACGACGACGACGACGACGACGACGACGACGACGACGACGACGACGACGACGACGGTGAGCGGCAACGACGATCACGATGATGACGACGCGACACCGAGTGACGAACGAACGACGACGACGACGATGACGCCGTGCGACGGCGCCGACAACCGACGACGCCCGTAACGACAGGGACGACAGCAGCTCGAATCGGCACTCCGCCCTGGGAGGAGGAGGAGGAGGAGGAGGAGGAGGAGGAGGAGGAGGTATGTGTAGGAGGAAGAGGAGGAGGTAAGAGGTACCAGGAATAGGATGAGGTAGGATGGGGGACGAGGTGGGAGGACGAGAAGGAAATCAGGAGGAGGAGGAGGAGGTAGGGGGAGGAGGAGGAGGAGGAGGAGGAGGAGGAGGAGGAGGAGGAGGAGGAGGAGGAGGAGGAGGAGGAGGAGGAGGTCGCGTGTCTACAGAGTGTAGCGAACCTCGCGCAATATCAGCCTGTGATCAGGATAAGTCCGTTCCAGAGCGTTCCTGATCGCTTTCAGGGCGCTCCGGAACGCTCTCTGAGAAGGCCGCGGCGCCCGATACACTTTCCAGTGCCGCCAGATCTTAGAGATTCTCGATTCATCCTTACCCGAATTTAGCCTCGTCATGGCCTCGTCTTAACCCTTCCACTGGGCCACCCCGAGGGCGTTCGGAGGGGTTGTCAGGCGCAACGTTAGCGGGGGTAGGTTCCAGGGGGGAGCGCATCGAGCATCGACTCCCTCCGTGGACCGAGCGTCGAGCATCGAGCAGAGGGAGAGCATCGAACACCGAGGTGGCCCCTCGCTCGCCGCCGATCGGGACCCGATGGCACAACCCGCCCAGGATCGTGCGGTCCAGCGGGCTATCGGGGCCTGCTTGCCAGTCCATCGGCGACGTATCGCCGCCCCCTCCCCCGCCCGACAGGGTCTCCCCCTGACGTTCCCCCAGATCTGGGTTTGGGGGGTGCCCCTTCCCCGCATCGGCGGTTCAAAGACGGGCCCTGAGAGATGTGGCAGGACGGGAAGGGGTCCAAGGTTGGATTTACAGTGTTCGGGGCATCTAGTCCGCGGGGCATCATCCTCAAGCAGTGGCGAAGCGTCATGGCTCGCCTCTAGGCCCATCAAGTAATGGACTTATATCTTGTTGAGGCCGTCTTGTCTTCATACGCCGGCGTTATGTTTTTTCAACACATTCTTTCGTGTTCAGAACATTGTTTGTTCTAGAAGCAGTCCGCGGTAGGCCTACAGGAATGCCAAGGCCGTCGGCCCCCTCACGGCGGCAGTTCAAAGACTGACCCTGTAGGATGGGTGGGACCTGAAGGATGTCAGGGGATCCAGGTCCAGCTTCACGTCGTAAAGTGTCCGGGGCGTCTCGTTCTGGGCAACCAATCCTTCGGGAGCCCATGTGTTGACCACCGGCCGCGGAGCCCCCAGACGAGGCGCCCAGTGGAGGGCCCGAGGGGGGCTCTCGGCACCCGCCGTCCTTCGCTCGCGTCCGCCCTTCGCTCACGCCCTGCCTTCGCTCGCATCCTCGCTGGCATTTCCTGTGCCGGGGATCCCTGGCCCTCCCTTCGCTCGCGTTCCTCCCTCGCCCACGTCCTTCCCAGCCCTTCCGCCGCCCACGTGCTGTGCCCCGCATCCGCCGCCCCTCTCTCACGCCCGCCCTTCGCTCACGCCCCGCCTGCGGGGAACGAGCGCCGACACAGAAATCATAGCTCGGGGGTCCGCGCGCGGATGTCTCGGGTCGGCGCTGGGCTCCACCTCCCTGCCTCCCCTCCACCCCCACCTCGCCTCATCCACCGCCTCCCTCGTTTTCCCCCTCTACCCTCTCCTCTCCCCCCCTCCCCCACCCACCTCCCCCTCTTCCTGTTCCTTCCGGCGGAGGAGGAGGACGACGACTCAGGGGCAATGTTAGGAGGGAACAGGCTCAGTGTGGATGCATCGATCCCAAATCCTCCATCGATCGCCGACAAGGACCCTGTAGCCCACCCCGCCTAGGACCGTGCGGATTCATATCGGAGGCCTACCGCCGGTCCATAGGCGATGCCTCGCCGATTCGAGGTCGATGTTGGCCCTAACGTTGCCCCCCCCGTGGGGGTGGGCGGAGCAGCAGCGGCGTGGCGTGCAGCACCTGTGCGCACAAGAGGATGGCGGTGAGGAGCGGGGAAGGCGGCAACGGCAGCGGGGGGGTGGAGGGGGGAGCAGGGCGGAGGCGGTGGAGGCGGAGAACGAGGAGAAGGAGGGGGAGGAGGAGAAGCAGCAGCAGCAGGGGGGCAGGAGAGGGAGGATGGATGATGGAGGAAGGAAAGAGGAGGAGGAGGAGGAGGAGGAGGAGGAGGAGGAGGAGGAGGAGGACAAGGAGGAGGAGGACGATGAGGACGAGGAGCTGTAGAAGCAGGAGGCTGGGAAGCAGGAGATGCAGAAGGGGGCGGGGGAGGAGGGAATGGGTCTTGAGGAGGAGCATTCATGGGGGAAGGTCACGCGTACGCTGCACTCATTTTGGTACTTTTGCGCTGTTGCATCGGCGATTGATCGCGTGCGCTTTCATGAGCATCACTCCAGAGGCATTGGCCTATATTGCTTTCATGTGGTGGGTCTCCTACGATATTATGCTTGACTTTGTGGGTCTGGCGCGGCTGCTTTTCGTTTGTGAGGCGAGCCGTGCTTTGCGGGAGATGCTCCACTTCATTATTAGTTGTTGGTTGTGCTTTCCCGATTAGTTTCTATGCGCGTTGCTCCTTGCGTGTCTCTCGCATTTGATGTCGCCTTTCAGTATTCGACCCGTTGCTTGGCTACCTGCGGGAGACGAAGGCCAGCGCCGCGGAGATCTCTCCCTCGGTCCGTGCCTGATTAGTTCGGACTGGCAACGTCTCGAAACGTTGTCTGTCACGCCATTGAGAGAAGTCCAATAGTTCTGCCACATGGGGTGTTGATGCAGCATCGACGCTTGCGGGCAATGATAATCTGGACGCTTCGCCTAACTCCACCAGCCCATCCAGAAACAATGCCCAGACGAGTTTCCCTGATCAGGGATGTGGAGGAACATGCAGTGGAATAAAGGGTTGGGGGAACCGTCATACCTCACGAGGGGGAAGATGGAGAAGGAGTCGGAGGAGGAGGAGGCGGAGGAGGAGGCGAAGGAGGAGGAGGAGGAGGAAGAGGAGGAAGAGGAGGAGGAGTAGGGGGAGGGGAGGAGCAGGGGGAGTGGCAAGGCGCGGCCTAATATCATGAATCGCTTGCGGCCTTCAAGCCTGCAACGAGCTGGACAGGGCGTGGATCAGACTAGCCCTCTTGGGGAGCACCCTGTCGCAGGCGCCTCCGCTGGGGACGGAACTCAGCTAAGTTTGCTGGAACATTGTTGATGGGTGCTCTCCAAAGGTCTTTGTGATGTTGTGGCTCGTGGGGGTCTCGTGAGCGCCTACTGCTTGCGCGGGACGGGGAGGGGGAAAAGGAAGGAAGGAGAAGGAGGCACAGGCGGAGGAGGAGAGCGAGGAAAATTGCCAGGGGCCTCTTGAATGCCTTTCGGAGTCTCGTCGGATGTCCATTGGGAGCTTCTTGGAGTCCTGTTGGTGATCTTGGGGGGCCTCTTGGTGGTCCTGGGGGCCCTCTTGGAGCGTCTTGAGTGCCTCGGGAGAGCCCCTTGGGGCCTCTCGAGGGTCGTTTGGGAGCCTCTTGGGGACCTCCTGGGTGGCATCTTTGGGCCTCTGGTGGCCTTCTTGGGGCACTCTTGGGGGCCTTCGAGGCCATCTCTGGGCCCTTGTGGTGGAGTTTGATCAAAGGACGGGGGGTACTGAATGATGCCCCCCCTTTCAGCAGGTCAGCATTGGCCCACCACCTGAGTAAACTCAAAGTTGTGTGCCTTCTCGCCGTGGCCGTCTTGGGCACCCCACGGTGTTGCGAAATCTCCCGTCCAGGTCCAGGGGTAGGGTATGGGGAGGGAGAGACTCCTCCCCGAAGGGGAGGACGGGGGTTGGAAGAGGAGACACCCTAAACCACTCACGCCCAGAAGGCTGGTGCGACTCGTATTCCCTCCTCCTCCTCCTCCGTAGCCGTTTTGGCTCAAGATGTCGGCCTTGGGGGGCTGTCAGCCTCCTGGCCGAACGGAGACCGTTAGTCCGTGGACTGCATTTGAGCATGTTCGAGATCAGGGTGTCTCGTTCGACCGAACGTATTCCCAGTGTTGTTCTCTCATGGCGGCTGTTCTCCCCGCAGCCACGGTCGCAGATGGGGCGCTCCGACGCGGCGGCACTCAGACGCGCAAGGGTCATGGTGACACTGATCTTCCTGGTGGTCGTGGTGATCGCTCGCGGACTCCACCGCCCAACGACGAGTCCGCCCTGGACTCCTTCGTCACCATGGCCTACGTGCAGTCCCTCAAAGACAAGCTCGGCTCCATGGAGTCGGCCATCAGGGACACCATGAAGCTTCCGTCTCCTCTGCGATGGGCGCTGCCACGGGTCCCATCTCGTCCGCCCTCGCCGCTGCCCAGGCTGGCATCAGCGGCCTCTCTGGCAAGATCGAGCAGGAGGTTGGCCTCGCAGTGGGCCAGCAGGTCGACGCCACTCGCAATCTCTTCCAGCAGCAGTTTGACGCTTTCACTCAGAGGATGGGTGTCATCGGGAATCGCCAGGACCAGACCGACAAAGCTATTTCTCTCATGTCCGAGCATATCACGGCGCTGCAGAAGGCGCTGGAGGTTGCGAACAAGCAGCCGTTGCAGTAGACCTTCGTCGGCCGTGACTTTGGCAGAGATGTGGACCTCGCCATCGTCAAAGTGCACGCAAACGGAATGGTCTCCCTCGACAAAGCCACAGAGGCCCTCGCCAAGTGGATCACCGACAGCGGCGTCGAATAACCGTTCTTCCAGGCCCAGGGCCGAGACACTTCAATGTATTTCGCGATCCAGTTCACCGGCCTCCCTATGCCCGCCTCTCGCCAATGTCAGAAAGTATTGGACAGCCTCCGCAACCGCGACGGCAGCTGGCCCCGCATCCGAGCCCCGGCTATTGCAGGCGATGGGTCTGTTGAGCTGCGAGTGGGCCCAGACACGTCGCCCAAGCAAATCAAGACAGATATCGTCGGCAAGCGCGCGGCAGGCCCTCAAGCGGGCCTTCCCCAATCACGCCCGGAGAGTCGGCCGTGCCAAGGGCTGGATCTCAGCCAATTGGTCCCCCGTCCTCTCTTTCACTGCGCATCCCAGACGAGATGAAGCTACGACGATCGCCTACCAGGACACGGGCTTCCCCGCCTTGGGCATCACGCGCGCGCAGATCAAGGGCGCCACCAAAGATGTGGTCACGCCCGAGGCTGCCCCCTAGTTTTGGATTTGACAAGATTGCTAAAGGTCTGAAGCGTGCTCCCAGTGGTTCGACACCGAGCCTGGTTGTGGGCACTTGGAATGCGCGCGCCCCCCATCGGCTACCAGGGGCGCCGAGTAGTCGAGAAGCCCCCCCACTTGCGCCCCCCCCCCCCTCGACAGGATGATCCTCGGCGCCCAGGGGGCCCGCCAGAGCCGCGCCCAGCTGCTCGCCTTCATGCGGAAGATCAGCGCCAAGCTCCCCCTGCACTCCTCCTTCGCGCCAGGCCACCATGGGGAAGTCAGTGGCGGTGTAGCTGCAGTCTTCCGATCAGGACTCCACGCGGTGAGCGGGGCCCTCCTCCCAGGGCGCGCCCCGCGCGCCGTCTTCCAGGCCGACGACCAGAAGCTGATCTTTGACAACATCCACAGCTACGAGATCAATGGCGCGGCGGTCAGGCGCATCTCGGCCAATATCCTCAGGACATGCACCCTGCGAGGGCCGACCCGAGCAAGATCGTGCTGGTCGTCGCAGGGGGGCATCGTTTTTGCCGCCGTCGGGAAGCTGGAGCTCACCGAGCCCACCGCCAGAGCCTCATCGGAGGCATCTGAGGCATCCAAAGCATCAGCGCGCAAGTGGCACGGCGCGCTCAAGCACTTGGCGGAGATCGAGGACAGCGACACCATTCATTTCTGTGCAGCGACTCTGGCGGAGTCGGCCATGGACCGCTGCTTCTGCTGCATCGCGCCTTCCCAGATGATTCAGCTCGCCGCCCCCTCCACCACCACCTTCCCTCCTGAGGCGCTGCCCCGCCGCCGGGTCAGCGCCCGCGCCGCAGCCCCCGTCTCTTTCGCCGCGCGTGACTTCAAGGCCGAGAAGAACCAGCCGATTGTCCAGTACATTCTGAAGTCCCCCATCTCCAAGCAGATTGCTCAGAAGGCGTTCAACCGCACCGGCCTCGGCAAGCTATCGCCCACAGCCAGACTGGTCCAGCACACGGAACTCCTCCGAGAAGTTGCCCGTGATGCCCGAGACCGCGTTCATGAAGAACACCCAGGGCAGGGGGGTGTCTTGCTCCAGCTGGCCAAGTCGCTTGCCCGCGCGGTCTGGCGCCAGAATTGTTCGCTGGCGGCCCGACTCCTCCGCGTAGATGCCAAGGCTCAAGACATCCGCGACATCAGCAGTGACCAGATCAGGCTCACCGACCCAGCCATGCTCGATGGGCGGGCCAGCACCCTCTTCCGCCAAGGCGCTGATCAACGGCGGGCCGCCATCGACCTGGCCCGACAGGGGGGGCGCCTCCCGCGCGCTCAAGCCCGCGCTCAGTTCCAAGCATTGCACCGCAAGATCCAGCTCTGGAACCCGATCAGCAAACGCTTAGTGCTCACCGGTGTGAAGACAAGTATTGGGACCGTGACGGGGCCGACCGAGAGATTGCAGGAGCTTATGGAGCATTGACATCCCGTCGTCCAAGGCAAGAACGTGGACTTCGCGATGGCGGAGAGCTACCTCGACCGCTGCGCGCCCAAGATCGACTTCAACAGATGCCAGCCCCCCGGCTACGACGCGCTCAAGAGGTTCGCGAGCAGATCCTTTTCTGCTTCTCCTGGCATGGACGGGCCACCCTTATGTCGCTTGGTCCGCGCATGAGAAGCGCACGGGGGCCCTCTGGCAGGTCATGACCTGGATGCTCGGTGGCGGCCTCCTCCCCGACGAAGCCAACGCGACGGTCCAGGCATTCCTTCCCCAAGGGGAAGAACCTGACGACGCTGAGCACATCGACTGCCACCGTGATCTGTCCAAAATCCGAGCCCTTGGGCTTCGGAACACCTGCCTCAAGGTCATCAGCAGTACGATGAACGCTGCGATGGCCGCGGTGGCTGCCGACGCGGCCCCAGCATCGCAGCGGGGGTTCATCCACCGCCGAAATTTCGGCTACAACATCGCGTCCGCCGAACCCGACGCCATGACCAAGCTGCCCGTGCTTGCGTCGCTGGACGTTGCGCAGGCCTTCCCGAGCTTCGCCCGCCAGTTCATCCGCCTCGCGATGAAGGCAATGGGCGCTCCTGAGACGGTCCTGGACTTCTTCGACTCGACGTGCCGTGACATCATCGCGGTAGCCCCGTGCGCGGGATCGTGCGTCCGCCCGTCTACATCCGCTCGGGCATCATCCAGGACTGCGGGTGGAGTGGCACACTCTACGCGATGGGCGCCGCCTGATTCCTCCTCGACCTCGAGCAGAAGCTCGAGCTCAGGGGCTACGGGCGTTGCCGAGCCTGTGTCAGCTACCTCGGGCTGGTGCTCGCGGCGGTCGTTCGCCTGGCGCACCTGGAAGGAGTGATGGCCCCCATGGAAACCATGCGCGCCTCGCGCTGAAGCTTGCCAAGTGCCGCGCCATCCCGCTCGCGGGCCCCGTCGGTGACGAGCTCGGGAAAAAAGAGGCGCAACGCCCTGATCGCGATCGCTCCCCGCTTCCAGGAGTTCAACGTCTGCGACCGCCTGGCGCACCTCGGACCTCTTGGGTCTTGGGGCGACCGAGAGCCTGATCCACGCGAAGGCCTTCCAGAAGTTCCGCTGGCGCACCTAGAGGCGCAGCGCCAGGGGCGCCCCGTCGATGGGCTCCGCGCAGTTGTTCAATAGCCGTGCCCTCCCTGACCTCAGCTACCTAGCCCAGTGCGCGCTGCTGCCCCACGAGTCCTTCAAGGCCGAGAGCTGGGTCAATGCATCAGTGCTGAGGTTCCCCACTGGCGCCGCGGTCAGGGTCAGGGACTGGCCGAGGCTGCGGGACTGGGGTGCGCACGCTTCGGTCCATGCAGCTCACTCATGGTGATTGCCGCGGTCGTCAGAGCTGCCATAGCTACCTCCCATAAGTTCCGCGAGATCCGCGAGCGCCTCCACCAGGACCTCGACCAGCACGGAGATGACCAGACCTTGATGGGCGCGGCTCGGGCCGTTCTGCATCTGCCACCGCCTTGGTTGAAGATGCCGCCCTTCGTTGAGACGTTCCACCAGGTCGTGTCCGCGGAGTCGGACCACCACCACTACCCGCCCGCGCCGCTCGCCCCTGCCCTCGAGGTCGCGAGGGCGACGCTCGCAGCGGACAAGCCAGCCCGCGCCCAGAGGCTGGCATTCGCTGCTGCGAGGAGCGCGCTGGGCCCTGACGAGATCGGCTCGTTCCCGGCGAAGCGGATCCTGATCGAGTTGCCCGGCCTCGAGGACGTCTTCAAGAATGACCCCGGAGTGTTCGATTGGGTGAGAGTTGCCATGAGGAAGTTGCCGCTGTCGTGGGCCGCCGCGTGGATGAGGACTCTCTTCTTCTCGTGGCTGACGTCGAGCAGGATCATCTACGAGCGCGGGCGGAGGCCCTGCATATTCCAGTGCGCCGTCGGCGCCACTCCGAGAAGCACTGCCTGACGTGCGGCCCGCTGGCTGCTGCCGTGGCGGCAGCGACCCGTGCCACCGTCAAGACCGAGGCCGTGGCGAATCTCGGGCTGCTGGACACATCCATCGAGAGCATCGAGCGGGTCGCGGTCGCCTGCGGCACCTACCACATGCTAAGCATGGAGCACAACGTCGACGCGGAGACCCTGTGTTCGACGGCGCGGGCGGCGCTGCGGGCCTCGCGGTCGATGCGCAATCCGCCAAGGGTGCAGCGAGCTCCTCTCCCTCGTGCGGATGGAGATGTCGGAGCTGCCGCGCACGCACCTCTTCCAGCTCACGCTCCAGGGGCGCACCGCCCCCGCCGCGGCCGGCTCCCTCCACCCGTGGGCGCTCCTGTGAGCAGGGGCTGGGCGCAGAGGCCGTGGTGCGGTTGCGCACGGGGGCGCGCGGCGCCGTGCCGTCGGCGGAAGGAAGGCCGAACGCCCTGGCACGCTTGACTCCTCCTCCTCCTCCTCCTCCTCCTCCTCCTCCTCCTCCTCTTCCTCCTCTTCCTCCTCCTCATCATAATCATCGTCCTCCACTTTCGATGCTGTACTACCTTCTGCCGACTGCTGTTTTCAAGGGTGGCAGGATCGCATTTGTTCGTCAGCATCTCCGTCCTTTTGCCTCTCCCAGTTGACATGTTTCAGTTGTTCTGCCTTCATACTTCTTCGATCCGTCCGCTTACTCCAACTCTTATGTGCCCTTTCCCTTCTCCTCCCCTCCCGTCGGCCCCCCTTGCCTCCCTCCATCATTGCTCCCTTCCTGCTTCCTCTGCCCTCGGCACTCCTCCTTCACCGTCTCCCCCAACCGGCGTTCTACTCACGGCTCGCCTCGTCCCATTCCTCATCCGCCTATTCCAACACCGCATCACGTAACCTTTTCAAATGTTGCGGTTCTCATGTCTTCGATCGGTGCCATCATGGTTTTCCAACCCGTAGCGTCTGTTCATGCATCCCATCTCTTGATTTGGTTTTTGCTCCATCCTCCTCTTCCTCATTCCCGCCATACCCATCGTCAACATCATTATCAGCGGCATCATCACCATCATCATCCGCATCATCACCACCGCCACTACCACCATCATCCGCATCGTCGTCGTCGTCGTCATCAGCATCGCCATCGGCATCGTCAGCAGCGCCATCAGCATCATCACCATCATCATCATCACCATCATCATCGTCATCATCGTCATCATCCTCCACATCATCATCATCATCATCATCATCATCATCATCATCATCCCCACCCTCTTCGTACACCGGTCCACCTCGCCATTTCTTATCTCGCCATCCAAGTGTTCTTTGCCGTCCAGTCGAAGCATCCTTTTTCTCGAGCGACTCCTCCTCCACTCAGTCTCCCCTACCCTTCTACTGCGCGATCTCTTCTTTCATCCCCACCCCTACCTCTCTATAGTTTTCTCTGTGCCAAAAGGTTTGCGGGAGGGTGGCGAGCAAGTTTGAATAGACAGATTGACGCAGCAGCCACGTCGGCAAGGCGAGGGAGGATGAACGCGGGAGGAAGGACGAGGCAGAGGAATGACGAAGACGGCGGAGGTGGAGGCGGATGAACTTTTGTGAGAGAGGGACGATCTCCTTTTCAGTCCTCCCTGCTTCCATTACTCCTCCGTCATCCTGTTCGTTTCTCTCTCTCTCTCTGTCTCTCTCGTTCTCTCTCTCTCTCTCTCTTTCTCTCGTTCTCTGTCTCTACGTCTCTCTCTCTCTCTCTTTGTCTGTCTGTCTCTATCTCTCTCTCTCTCTCTCTCTCTCCCTATATATATACGTATATAGATGATTACTCATCTCTCACACTTGATCTTTATATATCTCGTTCTCTCCGTTTCTCTCTTTCTCTCTCGTTCCCGCTTGTGGGCTCCTGGTCGGGCCTCCATGTCTGAGTGGGCGTTTCCTTGGCACCCCGAGGGGTGGAACTCCAGAGGTTTGACTGTTCACGCCTACATTTCAAAGATCTTGGGGGTAGAGGCGATGGTGGCGTCTTCGGGCCCTTCTGGGGGTCCTCTTGTGGCACTCTTGGGCCGTCTTGAGGGCCTCGTGAGCAATCTCAGGGCACGCTCAGACAGCTTTCATTGTGCAGCCTTGGGGGCATCTTGCGCCACCTTGGGGGGCCTCGGAAGCTCGCGAGCGCGGCTAAACGAACATTGGCCACACGGCATCGGGGTTTCGAGAGCGCGCGCGTATGGATGTCGTGCAATGGATCGTAGTCTCGGGAACGCGGACCCACTTTCTCATACGAGGTTGGCGCTGGCAGCGCGGATCTTACGTCCGTTACGACGGAAAGGGGGGGATGCACGCAGATCAGCGTGGCGAGAGCAGGGGGGGGCTCAGGACAGTACACAGACCCTACGCCGGAACGTGCCATGGGGGGTGCGGTGCTCGCCCTCCTCTCCGCAATCCCCACTCCCAACTCCAGTCTCGTCTCCGCTCTCCCGTCCCTCCTCATCGTCCCTCCCCGTGCTTCTGCTTCCCGCTCTCCTGGTCCTCATCCCAATCCGCCTGCTACTGGTGCTCCCTCTCGAAATCGCAGTAAGTCTGGTCTGACCGGGGACTGGGCGGAGGACCATGCAAGCTCGCGCACTTGCGATTCATTTGTAACTCGCGAGTTACCTGTCAATGAGTGTGGTGACCTTTCGGGAATCCCTCGAATCAAATCTCAGGTGCGGAAACCGTTGCTCACGTACGTGCTGAAGGACACCAACCAGTGACAGACAAAAAGATAGTGGCTAATGTATCCGCTGCGTTCTACGACGACTTCTACTATTCGCACCATTGTGTTGAGACTCGTAGTGCCTCTTGCTACGCAGGGGGCAGTGCAATGTGTGTATTTCCTTTCATCCGATGTGCCGACAGCGATCGGGTGGTGACCGGTAGGTTTTCCGATGCCGTCGGAGACCTAATGGACGTGTTGGTTTGATTGTGTAACGGAGTGTTCAGGCCGAGCGCCGAAGCACCGAACCCTAGAGATAGGTTGTCGTGAGAGAGTCCCATGATCTGGAGACGGGCACATCCCTCGCATTCTTGTGATGTACAAGCTCTTGTCGTGTTTGTTGTGTAGCCGCTTGTTGCCCATGTTTCTCCCAGGCAAGAGCCCAGATCAAGCTGGGCTCAGACCCCTGTATTCCACTGTAGAATATTTGTTGTCTGTAGCTACGTTGCAAGATGAGATTGGCAAGTTTCGAATACCACCGCTGTTTGCGGTCCTCGATTTCCAGAACTATTTTGATTCCGTGGAGCACCAGAGGGGCTTGAACGCAATGTATCCGCAGGATGTGATTCAACTGTTGATCGACGCCATGGTCAAAGACATTCATCACACTGCAGGGGGAGTGATTCGCGTGTTGCTGCACATGGACAAGACAAACATATTAACCAATGTCACCAAGGACGCCAAGGACAGTCAACAACACTTTGACATTGAGGACATCAATATCGACATGCTACGTCAGTTGCAACGGTAGAGTATCAGGAATGGAGTTCGATTATCGCACCCTGAGCTCACGTGTAAATTCTGTGCCTTGGCATTAAGAGTGCGCCTTGTTGATTGCAGTTTGCTTTATACCGTTCTATTTGGTTATCCAGAATAGACTCCCTCACACCCAGAACAGCAAAGTTGCAAACATGCAGCGGGCAATGCTGCAAGTTGTCTTATGGGGCAGGACGGCGTGTGACACGCGCACGCACGTCCGGGCATGGATGCAGACAGGGACGATTCTGATAAAGATGACACCAGCCGTGATGGTTGTAACTTGGAGTTGTGGGTCTCGTGGGTGTTGGCTGGCCGCGTCGAGAAAACGCATCTGGAAGTGGGCGCCGCGAGTCGCTTGCAGGCACCGCCATGTGAACGTGGCAGGTGTTCCCGTGGCAAGCAGACCTGGATCAGCTTCGTATGGCAGGCCGGAACGCAGATCAACCAGCACATGTAACGATGGTTTTGTTATTCCCTCGAGTCCTTGAGTGGTCAAGGCATTGCTGTTTCACATAAGCAGTTGACGCTGAGGTGGTGGTACGGTCTTGAGAGTGACCGTGGCCCAACCCAGCCACCGAGCGCCTGGGTCGTGGACAGGATGCCTCTGAGGGCTCCCTTGAGAGGCCTCACAGTGGCCTCTTGGAAGCTTCTTGGAGGCCTCTTGTAGGTTTCTCGGGGCCTATTGGATGGAGGCCTTGCGGAGGTTTGTTGGGGTCTTCGTGGGGGTCTCTTGGGGGGTTCGGGGCGTAACATCATACGGAGGTTGAGAATTTTCAATCAGTTCGATCCACTGCGTCAGCCTTGAAGGATTCCAAGACGGCCCAAGAGAGTCTCAAACGTTTCCATCACGCAACCATGGGACGACATCAAGGCACGGCGCTGCTTTTGTTTGGAGAATACAGCCAAATTTCCAGATTGAGAATCCGCGTGTTTAGCAGGTGTCCAAGTGGACCCAGGGAAGGCATAGGACCCAAGGAAATCATTAACATACGGTACCCATAAGTCAATATACATCCCCGTTCTTCCGCCCCCTCCATCTCCCTCTCCCTGCCTCTCCCTCTTGTTCTCTCTCTCTCTCTCTCTCATTCTTTCTCCCCTTCGCCTCAAGAGGGGATTGCAGGCCGTCCTGAAGGAGGATATAACGGATGACCACGGCCCCCTCCCCCGCCACGCCGCGCGCCTCCCCCAGCTCGCGGGCCCCGGGACTCCCGTGGTGTGGCCGCCGCCAGTGGCCGAGGAGCACCAGGGCCTCTTCCGAAAGATGGCGGGCCCGCCCGCCTGGGGCTGCCGCCACTGCCGCCCCGCCCGCCTGGGCCCGCCTGGGCCCGCCTGGGCCCGCCTGCCGCGAGGAGGTCAGGGGCCACGTCGAGGGGTGCGGCGATCCAGGTCGGCACGTGCCGAAGACAGATGGGGTCCAGGGCAGGGCTCCAGAGGCAATTCTTGTCCAGGCTATGTGCTCCTCGCCTTCGTCACGCTCTTCGCAGGCACTTCGCGGGCTGGGCGGTATTTCGGTACTACCTCCTCCGCCTGCCGTGTTACTCATCTGCGTGCCGCACTGAGTGGCTTTGCTCTCGTCCTGCTTTTTCCTTTGCAGGTTGCAAACGCTGCCCTGGTTGCTCGGCGTCCGACTCGTTTCGCGCGCCCGCGGCCCAAAAAGTATCCCCGCCGGCCATCCAGAAACGATGCCCATGAGAGCTGACGTGGGGAGAGAGAAAGAGACACGCATTAGTCAAACAGCGAGGGAGGGCGGCCTGGACGGCGTGTTGGGGCCATTTCGAGCCTCCTGGGGGGTTTCCGTGGCCGCTTCGAGCCCTTGGAGCGGTCTTGGGGCTTCTTGGAGCATCTTGGGGGCCATCTTGAGCCAGTTCGGGCTATCTTGAGCCACCTTGGAGGTCATACTGGGCTGTCTGAGGCCGCTCGGGGGTCTTTCCGGGGGCCTCTTGGAGCCTTCTTGGGGCCTCTTGGAGCGTTCGTGGGGCCCTCTTGAGAGCCTCTTGGGAGCCCTGGAGGGCCTCTTGGGGCCATCTTGAAGGCGGTCCGTCAAATGAGGGGGGGCACTCGATTTGCGTCCCCCCCTTGGGGGCCACGATCCTCGTGAGGGGTGGCCACAAATGGCCCTCCCGACGTTCGAAAAAGGAGCTTCCGACACCTCGCCATCCCTCCCAACAAACTTCAGGGAGGGGAGGGGGAGGGTTCCCATCCCCGAAGGGAAGATGCGTGGTGGAAGAGGAAAGAGACCCTCGTTAGACCACCTGTGCCCCAAAGGGCTGGTGGTATTTTTCGCGATGTTGCAATGCATCGCAACGTCGAGTCTCAGGGTTCCTCGCCCCATCCTCGCCCCATCTCCGATTCCTCCTCCTCGTCCTCGTGCGTCTTCTCCTCCTCTTCCTTCTCGAGTTTCCTTTTTGTTCCTTGGCTGTCCACGAGGGGTCGGAAGGAGGAGGGAAAGGAGGGGACGGAGGGGGGAATGATGGGGGAGAAGTGAGGACACGATGAGGAAGACGAGCTTAATAAAGGATGGGGAAGGGGGAGGACGCAGGGATTGAGGAACGCGAGGGAATCTTATAGGTCCCCGTCGATTTCTCCGGGGAAGGCAAGGCTGACAGAACGGACCCCCTAATTACGCACACCCGTCGCAGGCCGCAGGTTTGTTCGCTTTTGTAGGTTCTCATCCTCATTCCTGCTCTCTCTCTCTCTCTCTCTCAGGGTTTGCCTTGTCTTTAAGCCAATGGTTACTGGACAATATCGCCGTATGTGGAGTTGGTTTGCGCCGCGTTCCCGATCTGTGGTCCCAGAATCGCTGCGGGGATGTTTTGCAGTCCAAGAACATGCGTATTCCTGCGCATTCGTGTGTGCACGCGCGTACTGTATGCAGAAACCGAGACGCCGCGGGATGCGATTTATCACAGCGTGGGGCAACGTGAAATGTACAGCGCTTCGCCTCACGATGCACGGCCCAAACCTTGACAGCCAAATGTAACATATTATCATCGTCAGTCGAATGTGTTTGTTTGCAGTGCACGTTGTGTAATGCAATTGTGCGCCCAGCTGCCTAACGCAGTGTATTGCGTTAAGTTGCAAGCCACCGCAACGCGCATGTTTGCAGTAGTGCTGCCGTCCAGTTACGCAGCAACACAATGCATTGCCCTAAGTGCTTCTGTTGAACAAATGGTTAAGTCTGCATGCATGCGCTCCCCCGCTTTCTCCTCCTGTTCCTTGGGGGCCTCTCCTACTCGGATGCTGCATGCCTGCGTACATTCACTTCTGGCTGACCGTGTTCTCCCAGACCGTCTCCAAGGACGAGGGAGGGATGGAGGGAGGGAGACTCAGGAGGACGAGGGAGAAATAGGAGACGAGGTGTCTCAGGAGGACGAGGACGAGACATGGGAGACGAGGGGTCTGTCACCCTCTACTCCCCGCGGGCAGAACTCGCCCCCTGCAAGGCGGCAGCGTAGCCTTTCTGCCACATTCACATCCCACCCGACGGTGCCCGTGCCCACACTTGCGGAGCATGCCCCTGTCTCTCTCCGCCTCTCCCCCCCCCTTCCCGTCCCTGGCTTCCCTGCCCGATCTGCCGCCTCGGTTTTTTCGCAGCGTCGCCGTACGCTCGGCGCAGACCAGCCAGGCGGAGTATTACGGAGTGGCTCCGCCTCCCGTGTTCTCACGGACGCCTTCGCGATTTGCCGGTGCTGCCCGCTTGTTGTTTTGCTGGATACGTGTGACATTCTTGTTTCGTTTCGAGTTTGCAGCGCAGTCAGGTCGTTCGCTTTTTGCCACACTTGCCATCTTGTTACATAGGGGTTTGGATTGTATCAGGATGGGTGCGAGAAGGGGAGACATTTACGCAAGGGCATGGAGAGGGATGGATGTGTGCGTGGAGCACAGGGATCGGCCCGCCACACGGGTTTCCTCGAGACAGAAGACCCCGCATGTTTGTGAAGTACCGTCCTCCCTCCTCTTCCACCTCCCCCATCTTTCGTGGTTGTCCATCCTTCTTCATCCTTCCTGTGGTCCTTTTGCGGGGCGCTCGCATCGGAGGGAGCACGTCCGTTTCAACGCCACCGCTAAAGCGGGAACACGGTCCCGCTTTCATGCCGTCGCCGAGGAGGCGAGGAATACTAATAGATGAGCGTAGGAGAAGAGGAGGAGGAGAAGTGGAGGAGGTGGGATGAGGACGAAAACGAGAGCGGGGAGCAGGACGAGCAGGAATATTAGATCAGGATGAGCAAGAAGAGGAGCAAGAAGAGGAGCAAGAAGAGGAGGAGGAGGAGGAGATGGAGGAGAAGGAGGGGGAGGCGGAGGCGGGGTGGGTGTGGATGAGGGCGAGGGGGCGTAGGAGAAGGCGGCGGCGGGCAGGCCGGAAGACCGCCTGCTCCCTGTGTTGGCCCACGCATCGCACGAGGAACTTTGGTGGTAGCGGGACTCGCGGGCTTCGTGTGCCGGAGGCGTCTTCTCCTCGTCATGTTGTCCGTTGACTTCTTTGCTCCCGTGCTCACAGTGAACGTTGGTAGTGTCGGGACGCGCGAGTTTCGTCCTGCGGAGGCGCTCCCGCCTCGGCATCTTCCTTGGCCGCTTCGTCCTCGTCGTGCTTTTTGCTGCTGCTCCCCGAGCCGATCCTGCTGAACTTTTCCTCCCCTCGTCCTTCCCCTTCCCTTCTTGTCGGCCGTCCTGTCCTCCCCGCCAGTCTGCTCCCCACCCTCCGCCTCCCCCGCGTCCTGCTCCTCCTGCTCTCCGTCCCGCCCAGCCTCTCCTCGTCCGCCTGCCCCTCCTCCTCCACTTCCTCCCCCTCCTCCCCTCCCCCTCCTCCCCGCCCACTCCTCCTCCTCCCCCCCCCTCCGCTCCCCTCCTCCCCGCAGGCACCAACAACTCGGTCGACATCGATGGCTCCCCGGAGGCCAGCCCCGCGCCACCCCCCGCGTGGCGCGCGAGCCCGAGCGTCGAGAGAGGCGCTCTCGGCCAGAGGTGGTACCAGGGCCAAGCCCCGGCGGCTGCCCCTCCTGGTCCGCGCTCTCCTGATCGACCTCTTCATAAGCGAAAAACATGTGTGTGTACAGTCGGACCCAGGCATAAGATCGAGGTCGGCTCGGGGAGGGTACCCCAGTGTTCTTCGTGTTTGCTGGAGGTTATTGTGCATCGTGGGGGAGAGTACCCTCGAATGCTTTTCAGTTTGGCCGGCGGAGGACCTCGTGTTCTTGAAGGATGTTCTTCTGGCCTAGGTCCGACTGTATATATATATATATATATATATATATATATATATACATGTATCCGGAGTAGAGGGTTCAGAAGGGGCCCAAGACCCCCCCCAGAGGCTCCCAAGCTGGCCCAAGAGGCGCCCAAAGCGCCCCAGGTTGTCTGGAAGGTGGCTGAAGAGCGCACTGAGGTGGCTGTGGACGGGCCACGAGCGCTCGAAGACAGCCCAAGACTGCTCCTGGACGGCTACAAAGGCATTCAAGACGGTCCAAGAGGCCGCCGAGAAGGCCCTCCAAGGGCAAAAATCAATCATTTCCTAAGGGATAACGTATAATTCTTGGATATTTGCTTTTCAGTCCTACCAGCGGCCGCGACGGCCCCAGAGGCTCCCAAAATGAGCCCCAGACGGCCCAAGAGGCCCCCAAGAGGGCCCCCAGACGGCCTGAAGAGAGCTTCAAGCAGCACAAGAGAGCCCCAACACGGCCCGAGAGAGTACCCGGGAACCCCGATGGGGCCACCGGAAGATCCCTACATGGTCGGAGAGGGCCCCCAGACGGCCCCAAGACGGGCTCAGGTCCCCATGGCGGGCGAAGAGGGAGCCGGAACGGCCGAATTGGGCTCCCAGAGGGTCCAAAAAAGGCCTACCAGGTATCCTTGAAGACGATCCAGAAGGCCGCTGGGAAGGCCCCCGGGTGCAAAACATTATCATTTCCCATGGGGAATCTACATTTCTATGATATTCGTTTCTTATGTTCCATCGGCGGCCACGTCGGCCCCAAGGGCTCCCCAAGTCGGCGCCACACGGTCCATGAGGCCCCCAAGAGGGCTCCGAGACAGAGAGCGTCGAGCAGCACAAGAGAGCTCCAAAACAGCCCGAGAGAGTATCCTTACATGGTCGGAGAGGGCTCCATGAGGGCCCCAAGACGGCTCAGCTACCCATGACATGCCAAGGGGGGCTTGGGACAATCGAAATGGTCTCTCAGACAGGAGACGACGAACAAGAAGCGGGCGGCGAAGCAAGGGCTCAGGAGGAGGAGGAGGCGGATGAGAGATCGAAGCAGGAGCAGATGATGCGGAGGAGAGGGTATGGGTGATAAAGTGGGTCGAGGGAGGGGGGGCGGAGGAGGACAGGGAGGAGGATAGGGGGGCAAGGAAGGAAAGAAGAGGGGGACGACGAGGAGAAAGGGGTGTCGCACATTGAAGGAGCCTTCGAATCGATTGGTGCACTCCCCAGTCGGTTCCGCGAATCGACGTGCTTTCCGCCGCATACAATCGGTTGCTTTTGGAGGGCGTCGATGAGCTACCCTGCTGGGGTCCATTCGGAATGCAGCGCTGTGCGCACGTGAAATGTCCCTGGCAGCTTTTACGAAAGGGCGTTCCGCTGAAGGGTGGTGCTCTGTCAGTCTTCGAGGGCGGATCGGGTATAGCCAGTACCCCGGGTAAGTGGAGCCGGCTAGCGATTGGACCCCACATGCCAACACATTGCCAGACTCGGGACCTCGCAAGGGGGTGGGGGGGCCACAGGGGGGGGGGAGGTCCGTTGGCGCATCGAACCGCAGAAAAACTATGCAAAACGAGGTCTCTGGCCGCCGCCGGAACCCGAGATGCGTCGACTATCGGGGCGCGCGGGGGAGCATCGTTTGTCGGAAATGTGATGCACCAGCGAATCGATTCCCCCCCCCCCCCTCAGGGTCCGTCCCCCCCCCCTTTGGTGGACGCCGAGATGGGACCCCAGATGCCAGCGCTTCTTGGACGGTTTAGATGGCACCTTGGACCCTCTTCGGCCGTCTTGGAGGCCATCCAGGACCATCTTGGGCGAACTTGGAGGCCATATGTATCCTGGGCCATCTTGGACGTCTTGGAGGCCATCTTCGGCCAATTTAGGGCAACAAAGGCACTCTGCTATTTCTATTCCTTATTCCTATTCCTCCTCCTCCTCCTAATCCTCCTCCTCCTCCTCCTCCTCCACTTCCTCCTCCTCCTCCTCCTCCTCCTCCTCCTCCTCCTCCTCCTCGTCCTTCTCCCCCTCCTCCTCGTCCTCCTAACACACTGATCCAACGCCCGAGCGGAGGGGGGCGCCGTCCCGCCGCGCCGCCTCCGGGGGCCGCCGGCCCCATGGCGCAGCGCCCCGGCGCGCCGCGGAGGGCGCCCCGCCGCTGGGGGCTCGCGGCCGTGGCCGCGGCGGCGGCGGCGGCGGGCCTGTGCAGGCCCTGCTTCTGCGGCCCCGCGCGGCCGCGGCAGCGCGGCCGCGGCAGGCCGGGAGGCACGGCGGCGGCAGATTCGGCTGGCTCGGGGAGGAGGAGGCGGGGGAGGAGGGGGATGGGGAGGAGGGGGAGGAGGAGGAGGAGGAGGAGGAGGAGGAGGAGGAGGAGGAGGAGGAGGAGGAGGAGGAGGAGGAGGAGGAGGAGGAGGAGGAGGAGGGGGAGGGGAGGAGGAGGAGGAGGAGGAGGAGGAGGAGGAGGAGGAGGAGGAGGAGGAGGAGGGGAGGAGGAGGAGGAGGAGGAGGAGGAGGAGGAGGAGGAGGAGGAGGAGGAGGAGGAGGAGGAGGAGGAGGAGGAGGAGGAGGAGGAGGAGGAGGAGGAGGAGGGAGGAGAAGGGAGGAGGAGGAGGATAAGGAGGAGGAGGCCCTCCCCCCTGTCGCCAGTGTCGTCTCGAGGAGAGGAGCACGATGACCAGCAGGGGCAACGTCCCTTCCCCGCTCAAGCAGTGGCGAAGCCTCCGAGCTTGCCTATACGCCTACCAAAGAATGTTCAAATAACCTTTTTAGTGGTCTGCACGAAATGCTATTAGAACCCGTCTGGCCGGGGCTGTGTTGTTTTAGCAGATCGGGTTTATGGTATGAGAACATCGTTTGTCTTCTTAGAACATGTCTGGGTTCTAAGAACATCTCGTGGTAGGCCTATAGGAATGCCGGGACGGTCGGTCCCTGCTCAACCTCCCCCCTGTCGCCGTCGTCGTCTCGAGGGAAGGAGCACGATGACCAGCAGGGGCAACGTCCCTTCCCCGCTCGCTGACGTTGCCTCGTTTTGCTTTATTCTCTGGCGCGCAGCAGTCGCTGCCTGGGCCGAGCTTCCCCCCTCCCCCCCCCTTCCGCCTGGGGCACCGGTGACGATCGTACGAAGGAGGGGTCCTGTATCCCTCCTCACGTGTTGATGTTCGCGCTCGTACTATGACGATCGCGTCGCACCCCCGCCCAGGCGTGCCACACCCCACCCGAGCGTTACTTTTACCAGGTCCCCCCCGAGTAACGACCGTTACATGAAAGAGTCAATATTAGCCAGCCCTGGCCCCAAACGGTGCGTTCTAGCATTCTATGTGGTGCAAGATGTCCGGTGCACTTACTGTGGAATATCTTGGAGTTGTCGATTCCACTGCTCGGGCATGATGAAGGCTCTGGATGGATTTCGGCATGCACGCGCAGCCGACGCGCGCGAGTGGCCCGCAGGTAATGTGTTGACAGGGATCGCGCCCCCCCCAGTAAGCGCGCAAAAGCGCCCGACAGCTTTCGGCGGGGGCGCACGGGACGCCCACATGGCTTCCTTTCATGGAAATGGTTGAAACAGATGGTGAAAGCGCGAGCAGTTTTGCAGAAAATTGCCATGTGCCATGTGGCACAACTATTGTTGTTCTATTGCTCGGGAACCTTGATCTTGAAATCCGTACGAAACCCTTTCTGGTTATAGGATTTCGGCATGCGCGCGCGACTCCGCGCGCGTGTCTTCGTTTGTCCCGTGCACGGGATTTTCGAAAACGGAAGATTCTTGATAAACGTGTGTGCGTGAATATTCTGGAATGTGTACTACCCCAGGGGCTGCATCACGTGCAAACTGAATATTCCAGGAGGGAACCTATAATTCCTTGGGGGGTCTATGTTCTAGACGTGTCGCGCAACCCCGCCCGCCCATTTAGAAACTATTTGTTTCAGGTCATTCCGTGTTTTTTTCTCTAGCCCTCCTCGCTCATCCAGTCGCTGCTGGCTCCAAACAGGGGCCGTTCTTTATTTTGATTTCCCGGGCAGGGCTAGGACGAGGATGACTCCGTTCCAGAGCGTTGCGGAACCCTCAGAAATTTCCGCAACGCTCTGAGAAGGCCGTGGCGCCAGAGACAGTTTCCATGTTTTCCTCACTCGGATGTGTCCTCGTCCTGGCCTCGTCTTACTCCCGCGATTACAGCAGGCCTTGTCTGTGCGTTCCTCCTCGCCCTCTCTCCTGCGCCCCCCTGCTCCCCCCCCCGTGGCCCCCTCGCCCCGTCTCCTCGCCCCCTCGCCCTCTCTCCCCGCCCTCTCTCCCCGCCCTCTCGCCCCCTCGCCCCCTCCCCTCGCCCCCTCGCCCCGCCCCCTCGCCCTCTCGCCCCCTCGCCCCCTCCCCTCGCCCCCTCGCCCTCTCTCCTCGCCCCCTCGCCCCCCTCTCCTCGCCTTGGGGCCTGTCCCCCATACAGTGGGATTTGGGGTGGGAAACAACTGCTTGAAAACTATGTCAAGAGAATGTTCCAAAAATATTGGAACACTGGTCGAAGAATCATCCCCAGACTGTTTTGGAAACTGCTTTCGGAGATTCCTCCTGTAGAGGAACAGGCCCGACTCGATCCTCGCCCCTTCACCCCTGCTTTGGTCGGCGGGGCCCGCCGCGCGCCGGGCCCTGGACACCGCGGAGGGCCTGGCCGGCTTCGCGGCCTTCTCCGTGGCTCGGGCGTTGCGCAATT